ATTTAGAAAATAATGTGTTAAATTTTCATGGAGCTTCATATAATCATCAAACAACTCCTTGTTGTTTGATGATTATATGAAGGAGTTGTTTGATGATTATATGAAGCTTGCATTGCTCTTGTTGTATTGCAATGAATGTAAGTTTCATTATTTTATTAATGCATACGCACAGGGCGACCTTCGATTGCCTTTTATCAATCATAATCACTATACTTGAATAAACATTTTCGCTATATCTAACACTTAGAACAAAATTCGTCTTAATTTTAATGAAATAACAACTAAATTCGTACAGAATACAATGAGTTACCTCAAAACCTCTAAATCAACGTAAGCGCTAAAGTAAAAAAAATATGTCTTCATTATTATACACTTTGGCTTTTCTAAGTTTATCATTTTTTTTTTATTAAATTCTAGACATAAATAATCTAATATATAACATTCTCGTGTCACGGTGTTTGTAATTGAACTCCTTCGAAACGGTTCGACCGATTTTCGTGAAATTTTGTGTGCATATCGGCCAGGGTGGAGAATCGGGCAACATCTATTTTTCAATTTTTTCATCCCCCTAAATGTTAAGGGTGATCCACTCCAAAATTTTTTTCTACCCTACAAATAATTTATATGGCAAAACAACGTTTGCCGAGTCAGCTAGTGTTGTACATCGTGTCGTTACAACCGCGACAATAATAAATGGACACATGTCTACCGCTATTTGCCAATCATAAAAAATATAAAACGTTGAAAAAAATCCATAGTTAAAAAAAACATTTTTCAAACAAAGTAATTAAATAAAAAAGAAACAAAATCTGTGACACCCTATACAACTACAACTGACTGATTCATATATTTAGAAATTTTTTTCATTTGTTGCCACAACTTCGCATTACAAGTCTTTCCTTCTAACAGTATGTTTTATCTCTTTTAAATTCATTAAACCCATTCGTATGCTTTGTGACCTTTACAAAGAACTTTACGTTACAGTTTTATACGTAAGGATGTTCTTAAAATATTGATGTTTAAAGAATGTAAATGCTTAATACAATTTTAAAAAGTTATCCTCTATATATGTGTTCATTTATTGTCGCGGTTGTAACGACACGCTGTATAAAAAATGATAAATATTTAAAATCTTTCTCAACTAATTAATTACAATCATTTGAACTTATCTCAAAAGTGCGTGATTTATGGGCAAGTCATTTATTTTACGCGCGATCATTCATAAATATTACGCACATAAGTTCGTTTCAAAAGTATCCGACGCATTTATGAATTGTCAACAAGTTCTGTTTTTTAGGGAACGGAATGGCAATTTTTTTTGAAAAAAACGTTTGTTTTTATTTGAATAAACGATTATACTACCGAGTCTGAATCTCCTGTGTGAATTTGGGCACCTTTAGAAAAACCACCCTGTATAGTTGATACTTGATTGTTAGAACTGTAATGATACCTAACGTTGTCCTGATTATTTATTAGTTGTATGAAATTAAGTATCTTTAATTCTTTAAAACAGTTATTGCGTTTTTGGTAAATGAATGTATTGTTACAGTCGTTGTAGTCGTTAAAATGAAAGAAATTCTAAAAGCATTTTTCAAAAATGTTTTCATGAGAGATTTCATGAGGGTATGAATCATTAAACATTATGAAGTATAATTATATAGCATTATAATTATGAAGAGATTAAACATTAATCTCATTGAAATATAAGTTAATATAATACCTATTCCATAAATTTTACAAATCTTATCGCACTTTAACATAAATTTCCATCAACTTTTTTCTGAATAACTTTATAAAAAAATTAATAAGAGACAGCTATTGATAGGACATGTTATTAAAAAGTACTGACATTTCAGATTGTCGCGAACGGACAACGCTGTTAATTTATACTTAAATTGTTTTTTACACAGAGTTAACACCGTAGCGTTTAATCGGATTTCAAATATTATTTTGTTGTTGTACATAAAATTTTTATGATACACAAGTTAACACAATTAACAGTAAACATAAACAGCACGATCGCAAGTAATACGAAAAGCACGTAGGCATCGTTCCGAAATTGTCATAACTAAGTCACAGGGCAATAAAGAATGCAGATTGCGGATATCTCCCGAAACGTGTTTTTTTCGTCACGAAATGAACATACTCATATAGCGCACTACACGTTCGTGCTAGGTCACTTTTCAACGCTGTCAAAAACAACGGGGATTCTAAAAGATTCCTTTCTTTTGAAACAGATAATAATTTTTCCAGTTCATTCTTTGTCTTTATCAAGTATGCACTTACCTATATAAGGTTAGCATTGGTAGAGCAGGGCGAGGCGATAAAACCAGTTCTGATTTACCAGATCGTGCGGTATTTTAAACTCAAATGCAAATAAAATTGAACGATGACAGGGAACTTAAGATCGCAAAGAAAATACTGCGATGTAGCTCGGCACGGAGGTTTTTTTAAATAGGTCAAAGTTCGTCCACGTATGCCAGTTGATTTGTGCAATGTGCGAGAAAAATAAAATCGTAAAATACATTATCCATAAAAATATGGAAGTGTGATCTCTGAACATTAATATAGTTAACAACATTGCGAAATCATGTATATTTATACCATAAAAAGCTTGTTCTTAAATACTTATTAAAATTTTAGTCATGAAGTACTATTGCAGTAACAATGTCTTTTGACGTTAATATTATGTATTTCATGATTATCATATTAACTTGTATGTTTTTAAAGTTACTCATCGTTCTAGGGTTCAACAAAATAATTTTTAAATACTGATTGTAAAGTAAATTCTCGCAGAACGCGTAATTTTATACTAAATACTCGTACATTGCACATAACCTGTTACCTAGATCGGATAGTTCGCCTTCACTCTCAATATCTCTAGTTTTAATTATATCAATTTTATTAGCTTTATACGGAGGTTTCCGATAGTCACGTTTATATATGTACACAATGTTTGACGTACTTTGTCGCAAGTCTATAAAGCTCCGCTGAAAATGGGGCTATCAAGTCAAAGGATATAAGGGTTTATGTCGCCTAATTAAGGCCTCGGGAGGTATTTTTACCAAGTTTTACAACGAGAGTTGTAAAATTGCCTAACTTTGGTAAAAATAAAACTATTGAGGATTTAGATTAAAGAAAAAGTGAAAATACAATAAAGAATAAAAAGAGCGAAGAAATTTCAAGTCAAATTAATTTACACTCGAATTATAATATGAATCCCTAGTTCAGGTTTTTTCGAAACTATCGCGCTGTTTTATTTGCATTTGTAATTATTTCCCTTTTTCATTTAAGTGAATTAATTATTTTTTGTTGAAACTAATCGGTTTTTAATGACAAATTATACTTTATCAGTAAGAATGTAAAATAATTAAAGGCTAGGTTGTATTACCTAGAACCACTTATTAATTCTGTTAATTATTAAAAGCTGTTTTGTTTTCTTATATTTTTTTTTTAATTTCCGTTCGTCTTTCTAGTAATCTATGCTTTAGTGTCTGGATTTTTTTGTGGTCACAAAATTTGATTCTCTATAAGAGCTAGACACGATACTTAATATGAATTAAAAAAAAACACTATTGTTACTTATTTTTTGAGGTTGCCACGGCGTTTTATATTATTTTTAACCCTTTGTTCAGTTATTAAAAATTGACTGATTCCTAAAAACATATAAGCTTACTAAGCTGCAGTTTATTTTAAACTTTGCTTTTAAATATACTCTTCTTGAGGAATGAGAATTCAAATTCCATTTAAGAAGTGTCTTAAATTAATTAAATTGCTAATATCATTGCACAAGTTGTAAATAGTAATTTACAACTTGTGCAATCATATTAGCAATTAGCATTGAATAATAGCAATTAAAAGAAAACACTTAGAAGACAAAAGAAAATATCGTGCCAAGCAATACCGGACCCGAGTAGCGATTACAGTCTTTTACACCCTCTAAAAGTTGAGGCATTTCACCACCTGTAGGACATATTTGGCCGGTCCTCACGTTACACTATAACTTAAGCTAAAATTGCTGATATAGAAAAGGCTAATACATGACGCCCATTGCATTTACAACCTGACTTATTACCGGAGGGCTATGCTCTAATAAAAACACGAGGAAGTAATCCGCCTAAACCTGTTTCGCCCTCATATGGAACAAAATTAGTTCGATCTTATGATCCAGTAATTCTTTAAAGATCACGCTGACATTTATGTGGCGTAAATACAAAATCGTTACTTGTTTCTTATTTTTTGCAAATAGTAAATGCTTTCCACACACCCTTTTGGTTTGTTTAAAGAAATTCTTTACAGTATGAAAACAAGACACAAGTGTAAAATTGTATAAATTTGCGCTACAACCATGTTAACATTTTCAATAACCAATGTATTATACATTGCAGGGATTAATCAACTATATCCTGTTGTGAACAAATTATTATTAGGTACTTAAAAATATAAGTGCCTACATTACTACGAAATTCGCACGAAAACGTATAACTTTGTTCCTACAAATGGTTTAATTAACTCGTTTCAATCGTTTTTAAACATCGAAATAATAATAAATATAATCACCGTAGGTACTGTACTACTTAATTTTTTAATTACTTACGGGTATCCTTGTTTTAATGTAAGACATTATGTTTTCAAAGTACAAGCGAAATATATCGAAAACGTGAACAAATAGTATAAATAGATCGTTAGTGTCTTAATGCTATGAATATTGTCATTGAATGTAGTCGTTGCATTAAGTGGGGGTAGTGGGCATTGTCTGTTTCGTTAAGATATTTTGCGGGGGTTTCCTTTTTCAAACAAACACATACATTATATTACCGTATCGGTTTTAATTAAGCGTTTAAAATTATTTTTTTAATTTTAATGGTCAACAAATTATTCAGTATTTCTACAATTAATAATGTATGTACGCAGGGTTTTAATTTATACCATTTTAGTAGTTAAAAGTTCAACGAAACCTGTGGGTGGATATTGTGTATTTAAATAGCATTACATCATACCAAAAGTAAAATCCATATGAAATCGATCCTCATCTCGTCACAGAGTAATATTTCCGCACTGAAACAGATTTACTGAATCGATAGGGACATGTCCACTGTATTTAGAATAGTCAGGAGCATCGTTCGGCCGGGAACTGTCGATAGAGGCGATTATGTCTTTCGTTGCATTATCGGTCTTCGCGGATGGCGGCTCAGCTGTCACACTGTAAAACTAAGTGAGGCCCTCTGATTCTGATTCGAATTGCGAACTGGAATAAGCGATACACTTCTATTACACGTGTGCCCTGCGCGAGCGCCCGCAACAACTACTCTGTTCACCAGCACCCACCGGTGACCTTCCCAATTAGCAGTTTAATTTATGTAATGCACTTTCCTGAGAAGCCGTGACGCGTTCGCGGCGTAAGCACGCGAGTCGATCGGCCGATCTGGATAAGGCGGGGATCAAATAAAAACTCTTTGTTGAACGAAATAGTATATATAAAAAATACGATTGTTCTTTAAATAACTATTTATCGACTCTTATTCTTTATGATAAAAGAATGTAGAGAGATTGTGAACAACCAGCGTGAGAGTATCTTTTTTAATATCCGTGATAATGATCCTGCATATAATGGGGTGGTGCATAGGGCTCGTACGTCTGATGAGAAGGGGCCTGCAAACACAATTGGATATTAATGTAAAACCTTAACACATGGTTATTGTAAATAAAAGACAATCCTTGACATTATTAAAAGTATTAATGGGGGAACATTAAATGAATTAATTAATATAAAATACAATCATTACTAGATTTAAAGTAAATTTAACTTGACTTCCCGTGGTTGTTGCAAATATGAATGAATGGACCTGAATTATTTGTTGTTAATCGGCCGTTAATGTAATTATTAAGTTATTAAAAACTATTGTTGATTAATAATGTCCTTTTATTACATAGTGAGTTATGTGATATTGTACTGTTTGCTGACGACACATCGCTCATTTTTAAGGTTGACCGAAACGTGTCGGATTATGACGACGTGAATAGTGCACTTTCGCGTATCCTCCACTGGTTTACCGTTAATAATATGGTGTTAAATGCTAAAAAAACTAAATGCCTTCTTTTTTACCCTTCCCAGCGTAAGAAGGCGAAGTTTTAGCTTAACATTAAATAGCGTAACCCTTAATCCTGTTGAGTCCGCTGTATTCTTGGGAATTACGTGGATTCAAAGCTCCAATGGAGTCCCCATCTATCATCTTTTGCGAACAGGTTAAGCTCCGCTGTTTTTGCAGTTAGGAAGGTTAGGCAGCTATCAGACATCGACACTGCCAGACTTGTTTATTTCAGTTATTTCCATAGCATCTTGTCTTACGGCATTTTGTTGTGGGGTAGTGCATCTGATATAAATTCTATATTTATTCTTCAAAAAAGAGCTGTCCGAGCAATCTATAACATCGGAGCCCGGAATACACTCAGAGACCTTTTTAAAGAGATTAATATACTCACTGTTGCGTCTCAATATATTTATTGTAATATTTTGTATGTTAAAAATAATATTAATAGTTATCTAAAGAATAGTGACAGACATAAACTAAATACTAGAAATAAGGACAAACTAACTACTACGCCATTGTTTCGTTTACAAAAAGTAAACAGGTCGTTCATGGGGCAAGGTGTGCGCATGTATAATAAAATCCCACAGTCGATATTAAGACTGCCACTTGATGAATTTAAACGAAAAATTAAAAGTAAACTTATGGCTAAAGCCTATTATTCTATTGCTGAATATCTTGACGACGCCAATGTGTGGGGTTAATACTGTTGATACTCACGTAGGCTAAAACAAGACTATTGTACATGTACTATTATATTGTAAACTGACTTTTTTTAAAAAGAGCAACTGTTGAGTTTCTTGCCGGTTTTTCTTCTCAACAGAAACTGCTTTCCGAACCGGTGGTAACTTACGAACGTGTTAATTTCTTGTAAAATTTTGACGTTCATAAGAACGCGCAAGCGTCTATGTGAATAAAGATATTTTATTATTATATTATTATTTATTATTATATTAGTGAAGAGTTATTAACCTGATAGTTAGGGCTGGGCTTTTTCTTTTCCACTACCTCGCCGTGCACGTGCTTCTTGAGTAGCAGACCACTGGCAATCAGTTCCTTCAGTTTGAGCTTCGTCGATAGTAAATTGGCCGCCAGGGCCTTGTTGAAGGCCTTCAGCTCTTTGACCTTAGCTTTGATAGCCCAAATGGCGTCCTTGAGCAAGTCTAGCTTGGTCATCGACGGGTCATTGTCCTCTTCGTACTGATCGCCCTCGTAAGATGGCGTTTCGTACGCGGCCCGGTACAGCTGTTGCTCTTCCTCGTCCAAATCCACGTAACGGGGCAGGTGTCTGCATTCGGCTGTCAAAATAAGAAATGATTTTAGATATTTTATAAAAGTATACCTGCAATTTCAAATGGTACAAATTTCCCAAATAAATTAAATGGTCCTTGTATTAAGAACAAGTAAAGTTTGAAATTACAAGTACTGGGAAGTTATAATACAAAAAAAGTTGCAGTTTTCTTCTCCGTGTGAATAATTGTCAATCAAATTACTATTTACTGATTATAGATACTGAGAAGTGAATAGTGTTAAATAAATGTCCTTAACCTCTAAAAATCCAACATAACACAAACACAAACCGCAAAATTAATTAAAAAGTAAAGAAGAAGAATTTGGCACTTTCTATGTGACGGGTGATTTTTAAAATGTTCGAATTTTTTATTTATAAAAAAATATTAACAAGAATAGGAAGTAGTAATCTAATAGTCTATTGTCATAAGTTAAATTATGTTATTGTAATAATTACTTAATTTGAAAACTAACCGCTTGTTGTGTCGTAAATCAAATAAAAACTTACCTGCGCTTATTAAAAACAATATAAAAACTGATGCATAAATTGCCATTATTCATAAAATTAGTAAATTGTAGGAGGCGCACGTGTATTTCACTCTGTACAATGACTTACTTATGTTTGCAGTCTTTGTCTTTTTACTAAGATGGAGGCATGTTAGTTTTAGTTAAAAAATTAGAGCTACCCTCGCAATTAGAAAATAGATCGGGTAACATTAAAACGATATGGGAAACATTTTTTGTAATTCAATTTGTTTTCCATTCAATCTGTTTTGCCATTTTTAATGAATGAATAAACATGATTCATTTGTACATTTTGCAATGGAAGTGAAGGGAATGACGAGTCATCAGATCTAAAAAAATATTATAGGTCCTATAGTTTTATGTCGTTTTTCTTTAATATATAATTTTACATATTTGTAAACTATTTTTAGGACTGTCGAGATCTACAATTTCTATTCCAATAGATATCAAACAAATGTTGGACTTAATTATAATTTTTATGCTTTTACTATTGTTTTCAAAACTAGTTTATTGTATACAGTATGCTTTTAAAATTATTTTATTTTGAAGTTATTGACTTTTTAATCTTTTTAGAAAAAAAATATATGTAGGTACATAATTTTGAAAATAAATTAGTTTTAAACTCATGAAACTATGGATGCTGTTGGATAGTTCTTTGAAGAAATTAATTTTTTTAGAGACGAATAGACCTACATAGTTTTCAAGGAATATTATTAAATAACTTATGTAGATATACGTCTGTTGAGCAATAATAATAATGTTTTTAAAAACAAATGTTGGATAAAACCAATAGTAACAAAGCAGACCCATTTTGTTGAACATGAAGTACACTGAGAGACACAAATACCGAAATGGACTGCTAATGCAGGCGTTGGTTGTCTTTGCTGAAGAGGCCGACACACACGAGAAGTTGTCCATACTGCCATAGTGGTCGGGCAAGTGCAGGTACCAGTATCAGAGAATTGAACTCCATGAGCATTGTCTCCAGACACCATCTCCCAGGGAAGTGCGAAATATCGATTGGACGCATTAAATTTGTGGCGTCATTAACCCGATTAATCCGCCCGATCCCCGAGCTTCTCGCCAACAAATGTTGAACACCCTGTCGACATCTTGACTTTAAGCCGACATCTGATGGAGGTTATCGCATTCGTATTAATTACGTTCTTCCGTCGCTGTGTAAACAAATAAATTTATCTGAGTAATGACGGCGTAAAAATTTGTATATTTAACGTCAGTACTTCAACCTTCATCCTCCCCTAGCATAAGACCGGACAGCCAGCGGCAGTACATAAAGCCTTCGCTGTTGCATGAATGTGCAGATCCGTCCGGGTAAATACCACGACCTCACATATGACCGGCTAGAACCGAGTGTTGTACGTCTGCGTTTCGTCTGGCGAGTGGGATTACGGGGCCTACTTTTCTAAAAGGTGGCAACGCATCTGCAATATATATATAATATAATTCATTTGAAATGAATATGTTAAGAATAAAATCAAAACAATGTTAAAAAAATAATTATTAGGATACATAAAATATTCATGTCAGACACAGGCCTGCCCTGACGTCGTCCAAAGCAGCACAGTGCTGTAAAATTTTATTATATTTTTTTTAAATAAGTAGTTTTGTACTTTTATTCGAAAATGTGAATAAAATTTAACTCCCAAAAAATATTCCCGTTAAAATTTACCTTCCAAAAAACTTCCATTTCACATTTTTTTTTGTAAATTTAGGAAGAAAATTCCTAAGTTGGCATCCCTGGGCGTGCGCAGTTTGCAGTGCGCAGTTCGCAGTGCGTTTTTGGACTGGATGAGCCACTGTTGGCGTCAGGGGCCTTTACAGTTCTGACGGGCTTGAGGTGGCCTGCGCACGGGGCGCCTAGCCTGAACCTCGGCGTACTATTATTACGCGTTATGGTGACTAAGCTCGAGGGCTCCCGGGGGAGCCTCGGCTCGGGCCGTCACGCTATTTATTGTTACCGGTTTGGGAGGCCGCCAAGCTCTTAGGGCGCTTGGGCGGGCGCTCCATGGAGTGATCAGGCTCAAGGGTCCCCGAGGGGGGACCTCGGCTTGGGCTGTCACTCAGCACGCGTTTAGCATTCCGATTCGAGGGTGCCCGAGAGGGCCGGACCTCGGCTCGATCGGTAGCTATTATCTGAGTGGAGCGTGCGCCGTGCGATGGCGAAGTAATTTATATCGGTCTCGCCTGGTGTGTCTCTCTCACATGATTAGATAACTTATGCTGATATACATAAGGTTGAGATTGTGTTTATACGTGATGTAAAATACTTTCAAAGTATTTTATGTATTGATTGGAATATTTTGAATCTTATTTGAATGGTTGCAATTTGCAAGGAAAAAAGTATTCGACTCGTTGCGTTGGACAGAAAGTACTTTGAAAGTATTTCGATACCTGGTATGAGAAGGTGGAAGTACTTTTAAGACCAGGTACGCGACTTAGCAAGTATAACCCATCCCTATTATATTTAATGTTATTGACCATTTTGAATGAAATGGTTTATTTTATCTGATAATTATTTTGCCTTTACCTATAATATAAAAAATCATGATTTTTCGAATTGCTTTAGGAGTATTATTTTAACACAGTTGGTAACACTGCATTCGATTCGTTCGACGTTTGAGTTCGATCGACGTAGTAATACTTACTTTGAAGGGCTCGTATACTTTAATGGAAAAATACTTTCAAGTCTTGCAAGTATACCTGGCACCAATACCTGGTAACGTAAATACGGTCAGTTTCTTTTTTACTGTGACATATACTGTATTATTCTTTTTTTTAATGAAAAAGAAATAAAATATATATAAATAAATCCATGAGCTCTAAAACCGGGGAAAGTGATGTTCAAGCTTTTCCAAGAATTCCTATAAAGCCAATTGTACTGTCCGCGATGCTTTCACGGCTTCCGATCTGGGTATTATAAAAAGACAGTCAAGGTGCTAAATACAAACTAATACTTCGGTATATATATTCATATTTTATTTGAAAGCTGGTGCTTCCCATGTGTTCCCATATTAATTTCATTGATCTTGGGCTCTGGAGATACGTAGTGTACTCCTGAAAATCAATTATAAAATATATACATACAGAGCATATAGATAGAGAGCAAGGTATTTGAAGTCGGTTTTGTATTTCGTTAATAAAAAAAATTGTGTTATTTTATTCATCGTTCATTTCAGCCTGTAAAAGTCCACTGCTGAACATTCCTCAAACTGCTACGCCGCACGAACGTGAGCAGATTTGCATAGGTTGTGACTCCATCTAGTGGGGGGGTCGTCCTACACTGCAATGGCATGTGTGAGTCTTCAACACGGACAGCGTATAACGGGCATAGTGTCGTTCCATTCAACTGATAATACCGAGTAAAAAAAAAAGTACTAACTATGTTAATTAAAATAACTATGTTAAACGAAAAATTGACGAAAAGAACACACGTCTTCCAGATTCGCGTCCAGACGTTATATTTTAAGTTAACAAATTCTAATGATTCATCTTGCAGAGATCATGCAGAAACAATCACTATGTTTAATAATATAAAACTCTTTAAACTAATTCTATTTAGAAACAACAACAACAGTACTATGTCCAAAAACGTCCTTCCTATGAACGCATATTATGGTGTTGTATAGACTGCTACAGCTCAACAGATTTTTGGGGAAAAAAGCCTCGCATGGTGTGAAACCAGAGCTCAAAAAATGGTAAGGTGCCACTATTTTTTGTATGTCATGAAACTCCTGCTGAACATAATACGGTTTACTTGCAACCAAACTGTCTACTGGCAATTCAGGGGAGGAACGTATCGAAAAAGTCGATAAAACGATACATTATTGCAGGTGACGATTTATCACTTACAATTATGTCGTAATCTTCGTGACTAGCCTGCTTCAAACTTAGAAGGTATTCATGTTATGGCACAGTTCCACGAGATATATCTCCTAAAAATCGGTTATATTGTACGACGTGCACCTAACGCAAAAATGCTAAACCTTACTCATGAGTTCGTTTAAAATGTTAATGCTTCCCGATAAAATCTGCAGTATGAGCTGCGTGTCTGTTAGCATGTTTTTTTCCATGAAAATAGCAATTTTTTTTACTTCATCAAAGTTAGAGAATCTTGGTGATTTCTTATACATAAAATACCTTTTAATTTGTAACATAATCATCACATTTTATGGAAAAGGAGGCAACGCGCGGGCGGGTCACCTGGTGGTAAGTGTTCAGTGCCGCCTATGGACACCACCACCAAAGGGAATCACAAACACGTTGCCAGCCATTGTGAAAGGAACAGACATTCTTAATCTGAAAAGCTCTTTAAGCATGTAAAGTACACAGAAAAACTTACTTTTTTAAAAATCATTGAAAAAGTGACTCTGTCTTGATACTGTTTATTGTTATTTATTTTTTAAGTTATCTATTCTTTTTTCATATTATGTAGCCATACTCGGTTTCTCAGGAGGTGGTATTCCATGTTAAAATAAATAAATTAATTTAAGTGTTTTCTATTAAATTTTAATAAGAATTTGAAAAATATCGATTGCACTCTTATACTCTAAATTACAGCTGTAATATTTATAAACCTAAAATAACTAGACAAATCAATTTTAAATACATTTTATTAATTCCTTATTATGCTAACGTATGTTTATGATATGTGTTAGGATACTATATTAAATTACTTTAAATTATCTTATACTAATTAAATATCTTTTTTTACAATAATGAACATACGTGATTCCAGGTCCTAATTCCAAAATTATTTATTTAGATAAAAAAAAAACAAAAATAATCGACGGGTATCCTTATCTTTAACATTACGAATATTATCATTTGATAATCTTGTATGTAACAATTACATCGATAACGGTGCTGTGCCAAAGAAGTGTTATAGCTGTTACAATATTCAGCATACAGATAAAATAACAAATAATAATGGTGTGGGAAAACTGTAATGTGACGCTGAATAGTGGTGATAGTGGGATATTCTACACCGGTAATATAGTAACCGGATCAGTGACTGTGGAGTTTAAGAAGGAACAAAAAATCAAATGTAGACATCTTTTTGGTATTCTTAATATTGTGTTTGTCGTTATTGTGACGGTTATTGTTGTGTTTCAGATGTTGTGTTTAAAGTCATAGGTGTAAGTAAGGCTCGTTGGTCAAGAGCGGCGCCCACCATTCCCTATTTGAAGATTTATTCAGAGAAATACGAAGTTTTGGACGAAACTATTGACGTGTTCAGTGAAATAAATGGCGAGTATTTAGACATGTTTATAAGTGTTTCTGGCGTTCTCATAAAATCTATGAAGGTAATCCTGTTAAAACTTTTCCAGGCAAAAAGGTGAAGCCGGGGATAAGCAATTTTCAATTTCATTTCACGCTGCCAAGTGATTTACCTTCAACTTTCAAAAGTTCCATAGCCAGTGTACATTATTTTATCGAAATAAAATGCAAAGCTTCTTGCAATCGAAAAAAGGTGAAAATAATTCCCTTCGTCGTACTAAGCTATGTGGATCTGAATTGTGTCGAAGACAACAAGGTTTGTCAAGCCAGATTTCATTTAACCTACGTTTACTACTTTTCCTATGTGCAATGAAAGCAAATTATATCTGTAGCCCCCACAATATCTATAATCAGTATATTTTCATATTTCACCTAATCCATTCCGCTCGGGCGGCGAACATTAGGTGGTCACCGTCCCAATTGTTCTTAAAATTACATTTGCATGAATTTTAGTTTTGAGTCTAGATGCACTTTCTCACCGTGATTCTTTTATTTGTGAGATTTGCTACGACACAGGAAATTGCTAGGGACAGATGCGAGAGTATTTTAAATGAAAATTAATATTAAAAAGTTGTGTATATTATTTAATCACAAACCATATCAGCAGGATATCTATATAAGTTTTTTCTGATTTTTCATCTTCATAATCACTCGGTTTCCTGCGACCGCACTCAATTAGAAAATTGCCGCTAAATTCGGTCGTATGCGAAGTTCAGTCCAAAAGACAAATATACAGGGTGGCTTTTCTAAAGATGCCCAAATTCACACAGGAGGTCAGACTCGGTAGTCATATATTAGAGAGGTAGTATAATCGTTTAATGAAATAAAAAAATTTTTTTTTTCAAAAAAATTGCCATTTCATTCCTTAAAAAACAGAACTAGTTGACAATGCGGTAGTCATTCATAAATGCGTCGTATACTTTTGAAACGAACTTGTGTGCGTGTTAGTTATGATTGATTTCGTGTAAAATAAATGTGTTGCCCATAAATCACGCACTTTTTGAGATAAGTTCAAATGAATGTATTTTATTAATTACGAGTGATTTTATATTTATCATTATTTATGCCTAGAATTAAAAAAAATGTTTACACTTAGAATAGCCTCCCTGTATAGACGATATTAAGTAATGCAATTGACGTTTCTGAGTCGGTGTATGTACAGCAGTGAATTAATTTTTAGGTGCCCATGATGTACGAGATGAGTAAGGTGTTCAAGACTTCTGGCACTTTCTCGTTGTATTTCAAAACGTACAGAGGATTCGCACCGAAACAAAGCTTACCGTTCGAAATAGATATCAGTAACGAGAAAAAAGTTAAAATTAGTAAAATCATCGTCAGTTTAATCCAGGTAATGTATTATGGGCAGTAACTCGTTTTTTTTGTGGGAAGGTGAAAAACGGCGGTTCACCTGATTACAAGCTTTTACCGTTGCAACGGAATTGACGTTTGCAACACCCGTAGTCTTGCAGATGCGCTCTACCTTTTATTACAGTGGACCCTGGCCACCAGGGTACTACCCACGCACCAGACGAAACGCAGAAGTGTAACACTTCCAATTCACGCTGGTCTTCTTTGCGGTCATGGTACTTATCTAGACGGACCTGTCCTTTCGTGCAACATACACATTCAAGCGTACAGAGTAATTTCTATTTTCGTATGATTGGATTTCTGTTTTTCAGAAACTTGAGTACGTAGTATCAACGGGATACGCTAACGACGAGAAAAAAATATGCAAAATAGAACACAGAGATCTGACCAATGAGTCTAAGGAGTACTGTAAAATTTTCATGGACGTGCCACAAACGGCACCGTCTAGTATTAACGTTAGAAATCCAATGGTCAATATATCCTATGTCCTCCGGGTAAGTAACTTTTACAGTCAATCTACTTTTAACAATCCTTATTTCCTATACATAAGAGAGTTAGCAGGCAAGCAAGTTGCTCAAGGTTCAATCATAGGCAATTCCAGACGGATATGAGATAACAAACGAAAGACGAATTAAAAGAGGTCTTCTGTGAGGCCGTGGTAATCTGCGTTGTTTCGCCACGGCAAAACCTCAACCCTATAAAATTTTGATAACTCTATGTTTATAAGTATATTGGACCGTGATAAACACACAAATAATTACTATAACATTTAAGATTCCAATAAAACCTATTTAAAATTAAACTTCTTTAATATAAACTTGTTATCAACGCCTGGAAAATTTGTTAATTCAACCTTCTGTTTTACAGGTGGAGGTAATTTTTAAATTTCATTTGACTTTATACGAAGATATCCCAGTGACTATCTCAACTGTTCCTATTCAGCACTATAGCTATTAAAAATAAAATATGTAAATTACAAAACAGTGTTTCAATGATAAATAATGTTGAAGTCATTGCAGTTGTCTTACAACGCAAAAGATGTATGCGAGGAAATAAGGTTTTACGCAGCACTAGTTCCCATAAATAATACCTTTCGAATTTTTTCGTTGTACATACATAGGTCAGAACCGTTTACAATGGGTTTTTGTTCAATATCCTGGAAGAAGAAAACATTAACATATAAACAGATCAGTAAGGACGTAAGTGGAAGATCGATAATACATCTAACTTCAATAATAGTCAATAAAAATAGTTCAATAATTATAAACATTTAAAACTCATAAATATTTTTATATGTAATTACAAATATTTGGCTTAATCATAAGCTGTTCAACAATGATGAATGTAATAACGAAAAAGTTACGAATTACAAAGATGATATAGCATTAGACAGGGACAGACCTACTTTACCTACAGGAAGTATACGATTAATTATAATATTAATTACATATTAAGATGAAGTACATTTAATAATGAATTTGGTAGTTACATAGCCACAATGATTTCAATGTTAGGTATATGCTATAGTAACTATAAATAATTTCTATAGAAAGGACAGCTCTCCTTAATTATAAAAGATTTAGAAAAGTTGTGTATATATCAAAAACATTGACATAACGACTAGGTATAAACTAGAAAAAGTCTAGTGATACTAATTCCTAACAAAGTGATATGTTTAATCTACTAGTAATGTCGCATCAAAAATATAAACTGACGTAATTAGATTGTAATGACGTTGGGCCCACTTCTCTATCATCGTACATTTGAATGTACGACCCAACGTGAAAATGAAGTTAATTTAATAGCATCAGTAAAAGTTTGAATTAATAATAGAATATAGACACGGCTAAATGTATCATAAAATCGCTAAAAATGTAATAGTTGAATATATAAGAGATAAATATACAGCGTGTCGTTACCATCGCGACAATAAATGAACACACATATAGGGCATAACTTTTTAAAGTTGTATTAAACATTTAAATTCTTTAAACATCAATATTTACAGAGTTATAAAATTTTCCAAAACAAAGAATTTTAGAACACCCTTACCTATAAAAGTGTAATGTAAAGTTCATTTGTAAAGGTCACAAAGCATATGAATGGGTTGGATGAATTTAAAAGAGACAAAACATACTGTTAGAAGGAGAGGCTTGTAATGCGACGCTGTGGCGCGAGTTGTATGGGATGTTACAAATTTTGTTTCTTTTTTACTTAATTAGTTTGTTTGAAAAATTTTTTTTTAATTATGGATTTTGTTTAACGTTAATATTTTTTTATGATTATTGGCAAGTAGCGTTAGACGTGTGTTCATTTATTGTCGCGATGGTCACGACACGCTGTATAATAATTGAACGATGCTAAAAATAGTTTTTTTTGAGTAAACTATCTAAACAATATTACAAAAATGTAACAAGCAATAACATAAAGTAAACTAATGGAAGATAAACTAAATAGGATGACGAGGTATTTTTCAACGATCGATAAATTTTAAGTCAAACATAACTTTGAATGTTCCCGTAAGTTAAAAAGCACAATAATCCGGAACGTGTCGTTTGTTAAAAAAAATTAGCTGGCCCGCGTTAGTCAGCGTTTCGCGGGCAGAAGTGGGCGCGGCGGCGGGCGTGTCACAAGCCCGCGCGATTCTTGTATAATTCGTCTTCGAGGTCGAACGCCGGATCCGCGTACCCGGAGTCATCGTAGCGCAGGGACCTGCCGTTCAATCGGATGCTACAGAGAGAAAAGTACAACCGCTTCTCATATTGACGACCCGAATGGCGCAGTGGGTAGTGTACCTGCCTCCTGCGCCGAGGGTTGTGGGTTCGATCCCCACTACTGGAAAAATATTGTGTGATGAACGTAGTGTTTTTCTAGTGTCTTGGTGTTTATATATGTATAATATGTATTTATTTACAAAAGAAAAGTATGTTTAAGTATATTTATCAGTTATCTAGTACCCATAGTAGAAGCGTTGCTTAGTTTGGGACTAGAGTAGAGAACGTTATGTGAAAAATGTGTCCTAAAAATATTTATTTATTATATTTGTCACTTCATTAAATGACGTTACATCGGTCATAACCCTATGACCGATGTAACTTTACCGTGCAAAATATTACTTTTTCGCTAGCCTGTTAAAATCGGATTTTTTTATGTGAGAAGGTGGGAAGCGTGCTGACGGTTCACCTGATGTTAAGTGATAACCGCCTCACATTGACATTTGGAACACTAGGGTTGTAGATGCGTTGCTAACCTTTATAGGTAAAATCGGTCTCGGCTACCTCACTCACGAGAGGAAACGCAGAAATATAACACTTCATGCCGGTCTACTGCTTGCCTGGAAGGGTCTGCCCATTGGTGCAACTGCGAGGAGTATTGTCTGGCCCTACCACAGTTTACCAGAATTGTGCGTTAAGCAACGAAAATTGTGCACTTACCAAGTTTTACACGGTCGGTGTGACGGGGACACAACAACCTGACAACAACGGTTAAGTGCGCAACACTGACGTGCGCAGATATCAAATATTTTGTGATGGGTTATATCGTAACTGGGACGGAAATGAGGCAGGACTAGCGGCACAGTGACTCTTTGTTTGTGAAATGATTAATTAAATGAATCGTTTAATTAAATAACTTGGAATTTAAGTAAATTTCATCATTCAATCGTAAAAATTTTACCCCCATATTTTTTTCCAAAAGCGCCAAAAGAAGTATACTTCAAAATAGGCGACACTGTATGTAATACCTTCAAATGGAAATGGGAGTTGGGCGTTTATATCATGCTTGTGTATGTAATGTTCATGTAATGCTTTCAAAGTTCTTGTCGTTGAAACATTCAAACTTGAAAATTTATTGTGATATTTAAATATTTGTTTACAAAAATAGAATTGAATTTAATGAACGCTATTAAATGACAAAAAATTCATCAGCAAACACCGACGTCATATTTACGTCTAACTGCACCCAGCTTTTCTTTGGTTTCGTTTCGAACTAGCCACCTGGCTGATTAATTCAGTTCTATTATTAAATTGTTGCAACGCAAAGCAAATTACTTTAGCACGCAATGATAATAAATCATTTTCACGATTGTCAGGATAGTCGGTGTTTATTGACAGACCAGTCTACTTGTACAAATTGCTAATAATATCAAATCAGGAGAAAGGTCTCTGCTTACCCGGATGTTTTGAACTTGAAACCCGAGAATTAATGATTTACAATTAAAATAACGTCTTGATGACCACCATAGAAAATTGTTATCTTGTCCATTGATTGGTTGGTATATTATATATAATGAAAAAAATATACTTCGAAGATATTTTTAATTCGCCAATCCGCGTTAGAGTTGCGTGGACTAATTAGCTTATTGGCTAATTAACCCTCTGTTCGGAGAAGGCAGTGAGTGGGCTGTAGCTTTACATTTTTATGGGAAATTCGACATTACTAGATTTGTAGACTAGTCCGGAGGAATGGGAAGCGGTTTTACAGCTTACAAAATAACGTTCGCACCTGTCAGGCGTTCTGGTCCGGCACCTCGAGGGCGGCGGAGACCGGGAAGCCGCCCTCAATAGAGCGGGGTCGTCGTAACGTCGCGACACCACCGTGAAGTCGTGGTGTGCGTCTATCAGCTTTTGCAGTCGCGACACCATCTCGAAGTCGGACACGGACGACGGCACGAGGATGCCCAGCAGCTTGGCGATCGAGTTCCTGCGATGTCTCGTCTATGAAACGCTCTCGGCGAAAGTCACGCGCGTTCGCGAGTCAACTTGGTGATGTATCGACTCGATCCGTCGATAATCAAAATCGTTATTGGTAAAGTATTTAATCTACCAATAACGACTTTGATTCACATAAACAAAGTATATAGTATACGTAACGAGGGACGAGTTCCCATTAAAAAGGTTGCTTGATTTTCTGTGAGTTTGTACATAACTTAAATCAAGAAGCGTTTATTGTTCATATCATTATAACTCTATGGTCTAGTTGCCAAGCTGTTGCACCGGGGGTCGAATCCCACACGGATTAAGTATCTGATTGGTGATTCAAAAATAACATTGTTCCGGATCTGGGTGTTCCTTCAAAAGTGGGATAACATGATTCACATGTGTCGACCACTCTTAGGTGGGATGAGGGCATGAGAAAGAAGAAACAGTCGTTTTAATGTTACAAGAAATAGACACTCCTCCTACACGAAGCAGAAACCTTACCTGAAACTCTGGAGTTGTGCCTCCCGCCTTTGGCAATCGGCGAGGGCTTCCTTCGTCCGCGCCAAATCGTCCCTGAGCATAATGATCTGATGTTCGCTGCTGTTACGCTCCTGCTCGAAGTTCTCGCCGGTGTTGCGTATTTGCTCTTTCAGGACATTCACCTTACGGCTGTACCGCGTGCGCAACAGTTCCGCTTCCTCCAACTTCTTCTGAAGCTCCTCGATTTTCCTCGCTCTCTCTAACGACGAAATCTACGGGCGTGCAGAAGTTAGGAGGCCAAGAGTGGACGCTCAAATTTGAAAGTGCTTTGTCAATACTAAGTTTAATAAAAAATAGAAGATAAAATTGATAAGTTCGGTCCATATGATATATTTTAACATAAATTTTTCAATTTTCTTAATTTAAAATGGTTACGATTTGTTACTGTCTTCACACTAGGTATGAGTTTTTTATATAAGTGAAATTGGTACACATAGAACATGAAAAACTATTTTACTCTGTTATGTGAAAAGTTTGCAAGCAAGCAGGCTGTTCACCCGTTGCTGTTGTCGATGATTGATGTGATTACCGCCCCCGGTGGTCTTTTCTTGTCGAACGTCTCTGAGGAAAAGTTTCATACTTCCACTTCGTCTTCTTTGAGGCAGCGGTACTTCCCCGAACGAGCCGGCCCATTCGTGCAATAGTGAGGCCACAAAAGTTTAACTGTTAAAAAAAACTACTGTATAACTACGATAGTCGAACTGTTGCAGTAGTTGAGCTATAACATCATCGACGAAATTATGATTTAATATCATGACTATACAAGGTTTACCTGATTGATAAATAAGTTTGTTAAAATTCCAAGCACTTTAATGTGGTTATTAGGAACAACTAAATCTTCGAATGAGATCACGTTTGTATTAATAAAATTACTCCGACCTCGGCGGGCAATTATTCTAGTAAATTTACTGCGAGTACCTGTTAGTACTTCATAGATTATATCCGTATAGATAAATAACGTCCAATATTCGACAAACAGCCATTTTCTGATTAGACCGTGCTTTTAAATCCATCAGAAAAATGTTCATAATTATCCTACCACTCAATCTGATTTTTTTTAACATCCACTGTGTTTAAACAGAGGTAAGTAAACGTTACAAAACATATATTTAATGTTTTTAGTTATAAATTACTTAAAAAAATCTTTTCATGTGACAATTAGCTGATTTTAGTATAAAATAAATTAATAAACAAATTGAACAAATAAGGTAGTTTTAAAACAAAAAAATTACGTAACCATTACAGCTCAAGTGTAACAAATGAGACTGAACATCATTGAAATGAGTGGGTGTCGTTAACTTTGACATGCGGTTGACCGTGTCCTGAAATAAAATTTATCGCTGTCACTTTGATGCATAAAAATAATTATGAACACACGCATACGGTAACTCAAGGATACACAATGCTATCTACTTTTAACCGAATTTATTGCGTCTCAATCTTCATTGGTTAGGAAATCTTTAAGCAGGCCAATGTATCCTCTGGTTTTATAATTAAGCGTCGAAAATTGGCCACCGGAGTTCATATCGTGATACTAAATAAACAGTACTAAAATAAACCTTTTGTCTCCAAAATGTTGTTATATGATGATATGCGAAGGTCTAAACGTTGCGACGTCGGGCTTGCCGCGACCATTGGATCCCCTGCGCTATTTATTTTTTGGTACACTCGCGTACTGCACGTGTAGTCATTATTTGACACGCTGCCCTGTTTGCGTTAGACAGTTGATTTCAATATTTCACTCTGTGGCCATCAGAAAATTCTTTGGTCGCACCTTTTGCGATACATATAATATAGCGGGGATGTCCTATTAATAACGGGCTCAAGGCATGTGAGAGCTTGCTTGTTGTTTTTAATCGGAATAATTGGGGTTTGTGAACAGCTTACTTTGTACTCTGCGGCGTCGGCGAGTTGCGCGTTGAGGTCCCTTAACTGAGCCCGTGCATCGCTGAGCTGGACGCCGAGTTTGTCACACTGACGAGCCAGCTTCTTGCTTCTTATGACAGCCTCGTCGCGTTCAGCCTGGAGAACCGCACGCACGCGGCAGCTCTCGTCCTGCATTTCGTCCAATAGTTTACGCAACGACGTTCACAAGGAGGCTTGACGTCAAGCAGGTGGTCGGTCGTACAAATACTAGCCGATACCATTAACGACATGATTACTTGGTGGAGTAAGGACAGGAGAAAGAAGAAGACTCAACGATCGTCTGGTAGGCAATAGATTATTTAAGTATAAAAAATGTGTGTAGACAGAGAGAGAGAGACAACATGTGCTTTCTATATGGCCTGGTGGGCGCCTGTCACGTTTGGAACTGAAATTAGCTTGGTAAGAGGTGGACGGCCGTTTGCTCTCGCTTCCCTGTTATGATTTTGTTGTTTATGTCATAAATATGATTTTTACGTACAATGGCTAAAGGAGCATTCGCTATGATATAAAATATCGGCGCCGCCAGTGATGGGTTGGATTCCTATCTTTTGGAAATATTGATTATTTTATTTTTATATTAGTCTACAAACTTTTGTTCCGGGTACGAAAGACTTGTTTCAGTTTCATTTGTGTTTGTAAAACGCAGGTTAATGTCGTTGTACAGTCGAGACGTCAATGTTTCATATTATTCGTTAAAACATAACACGCGTTGAATATTATTTTAGCTCTGTTTATAAGAGACAAAAATTGTGCAGAATATTGTGGCAATTATAAGTATCATCAAGATTGTATATTTGATAGACTTATTGTTCGCTTGAAAAGAAACCTCTACGACATCTGATTAATTCTAATTCTTACTTCTATGAGCCTACCCAATTAAAAAGTTGATGAATGACCTTGTCCTTGGCCTTAACATGTCAATGCCTTCTTATCATAAATAAAGAAAAGATTTTACTACTTAATGATGAAATACATTTCGAATAATTCCTCTATTGTTTAAATTTAAAAATTTTTTGCTAAATATTTTTTATTGGATTTCTATTGTTGATAGTTTCCTTCAGCGTCATTATATCAAATTTTATTATGTTTTGTTTTGAACGACCAACTGCAATCATCTAGCTGTCATGAAAATTATTTAAAAAATATAATTACTCACCTGTACACTTAACTTGCGCCTTAACAAGTCCAAATGCAAATCTTTCCGCTGCAACTGTTCTCTGAGTATTCTTATTCTCCGCTGTAGCTGATAAACAACGGCGGTCTGCAATATATGTTTTTATGTGAGGGGGTGGCAAACGAGCAGGTGGTTCACCTGGATGTTAAGTGATAAGCCCCGCTCATTGACATATGCAACACCCTTAGGGTTGCACATGCGTTGCCATCCCACCATTTTTATCCTTTACGTATAAAGTAAATGTTTAATACAATTTTAAAAAGTTATCTTCTATATGTGTGTTCATTTATTGTCGCGATGGTAACGACACGCTGTATAATGATTTACGAATCGTCATATTTTTATTTGTATTTTATAACAGTTAGACATGGACATTGCAAACAGACAATTTTAACAAATTCACTGAAAATGAATATATATATTTAAACATTGACAAAAAGGCAGTACTTAATTTAAGCAGAATAGAATGTTACTTAAGCCTTGCGTTATTTAAATAACAATATTCAGTGTGGTTTACGTAACAATATTCAGTGTAGTTATATCCGGTATATTTAATTATATCTACTACTGGCTCTATCTAATTATCTAAAATAGCATATAGATACAGTGCTTAAAAGCTATAATTATATCTGTGCTAAATAAAGTTTGCAAGAGTTTTTGGAAAGTGCACACAATAAACCGTTCTAAAAAGCTATCGTCTTCGAAGACATGTTGCTATAATAGTTCTACGACATTTATGACATGCCAATTAGATTTTTCTTACTTCTTTAAGGTATGGCAAATCATGGAAAGAACGTTCCCTGCGTAGACGCGGCAGCGTACCATAGTATCCATAATAAAGCAGCTACACAGACACGGATAAATTTTAAGTGCACACCAATCAAAAAATTTTAAAGTTAAACCGCCAAATATTATGATACTGACAGCAAATTTTTTTTCACTTACTCTAAACATAAATTATTTGCTGGATGACAAAGGTTAACTGATGACAATGGATGGATTTATTAAATATATATTAAACCTCACCAATTGTACTCCATGAAGTTTAGAGATTTTTTTATAGTTTTGTTAATATAAAATTTAATATGAGCCATATGCTATAATATGCTATACAAATTATTAATAAATATTACAAACATACATAAATTACGTACATTAAAACAATTTTGAGAAATTTAATTAATATACTATAAATAATATGTAAAAACACATCGACATGAACCATGAAGGTTGGTTTCAATGACATGACTTGTTTCCACACCCGGACTATATTACTTTTTGTTCCCGGTATTTTATTTTATAAATGTACCTACGGATAAAATTAAAGTAGTGATTTTTACTATCCAATCCTGTCGTAAATATGCACATTCCTACATTAAGGTTGACACTAGTATTTAAACAAAAAAAAATGAAAATAACCAGTTTTTAATAATGTGGTGTAAAAAATATTTTCTTCTATTAAAAATTCTCTATGTTAAAGTCACTGTTATCATTGATAAATGGAATAATGTTAAAACATAATACATGACATTACGGTATAGATTGAATAAGCAATATTTCACTTATTCAGTATAAAAAGTTATTATTTGCTTGTAAAGTTCTAAATAAGAGGTTTTAATTAACGATGATTATTGAAATATATGCGGTAAATTACACAACGATACCTTGTCAAGCGGTCGGAATAAAATTGTATTCAAGTTATCATGCGTTAATTGCGTGAATATTAACATTGTTTCCAACAACATAATATAGAAAACCTTAAACTGTAAGTTAGTCCTTATAGTTATAGATGTAGAATGTTTTTGAAGTTTTGAATAAATTACTATAAATATTTGGAATTAAGGTGAAAGTTTTGGTACGATTTCGCCAAATTTTTGCAAATAATTTAAAGAACGGTCATAATAATAGATGGAAGAGATTGATAGAAATATGGGAGAATGTCGTTTATATTACGTCGTCGGCCATTTTTACATACATTTAAGATTTATTTATTAAATTCTTATATTAGTGTTCACATCAATATACATTCATGCAACATTCTATACACCGATCCGGTTATAATAGCAATGGGTCGATTTTTTTCATACTCGTACAATGATCAACCTTTCTCGTGTACGTGATATGCAAACTGACCTTGTCAACGATTTTATCGCTCTCAAGCCTCGCCAGTTGTTCGGCCCGATGGATAATCGATTCAGTGTGCAGCTCTATGCCAACATCCTGGGTCAATTCATCCATATTAAGCGTCCTGCTCAGACGTTCAAGGAATGCCACAAACTGTAACAATAAAATAGTTTTCTTCTTTAAAAAAAAATCACCTCTCCGCCTTCCGCATTTCAATACTGGCCATTACAACTGACATATTACAAAAACAACGTAACGGTTTAAATATCAGCCAGTGCTTGAGTTTTATTTTTGATATTTTGCCTTTTTGGCGGAATGAGTTCTCACTATGTGTAAAGAATGTCAAATATGCGAGTTATGCAAGTGATCAAAATCTAGCATATAGAAAAGAAAACAGTAGATTTTAGTGTTTTACATTTGATTTTTTTATTGATCAACACAATCCGAGATTTCTTCAAGTTCCAGTGCCGTTATCAATCACATTGTTAACGAGCTGCTACCCGCGGCTTTATCCGCGTGAATGTGTTTACTTTTGTGAATTTTTCTTAATTTTTACATGGAACACTGTCTTTGTTTAAAATAAAAGTATATTTTAATCCTTACAATACATATAGCCCGGACATATACATAGAAAATGATAGAACGTAGGGAAAAATTTAAAAAGGCTTTCTGCGGGAGAGGGGAAACCAATAATAAATCTATTTCTGATAAATAGTGAAACATGTTGTAAATATGTAAGGTTCAAATTTGTGGCGGATAGTGGTACTTAATACGTCCCCTCAAATGGGTCTTTGTAGCTTTATACAAAATTTTTTTTGTGAGAGTTGATGATTGATTTAATTTCAGATTGGAAGTTAGTTCGACTTTAGGTACTTACGTTAGCTTTATCTTTATGCAAGTTATCTCGAGAAAGCTCTAAAGAGGTTATTTCGGATTCCAATTTATGTACTTTTCCCTCCAACATGTTTCTTTCGTCCTCAAGAATTCGAACCCGTGTGTTAGCTTGCTCGTTCATATGGCTGGTTCTATTAAGCTGTTGAGACTCCATTCCAAGTTTGTCACGAAGCGTTTCTATTTGCTAGTGGAAAAATATCGAATACGGCAATGAGTTCATAGAAAACTTCTAATGATAGATATGCGTGTTGTTTTTTTTATTATTTATTGAAATTTATGCTGTGAATACAGTGGTAAAGCCTCAGTTATAAGAATGCATTTCTTTTCGATTCCAACGAAAATTGATATGTTATTCTGCTTAAAACAATGTGTTATTACACTATTATTTAACATATGTGTTTCTAAGATTTTAAAATTATGTAGGTTAAAGCTATTGCGTCTGTTAAATAATGATATCTTGACACTAATAAATAGTAAGTAGTAACAAATAGTAAGTAAGTAGTATAAGATTTTTCGTTGTTACGAAAAAAGAAAACGAAAAAAATTCGACTGAAATTTTAGAAAAAAGGAAAAGTTCGTCAAATTATTAGAATGAAAATTAATTAATCATACCCACAAGACTTACCACAGTTTTGTCCTTATTTTCACCCAGAATTTCTCGTATTCTATCCTTAATTGTGCTCTCATGAGCTTCAACGAAACGTGTAGGTAAACTTAGAAGAATGGCGATTGACTCCATTGTATTACGGAATTCAGTTTGTAATCTTTGGTGTTTTTCGTCACGATGTCTCAAGTCCTCTGTAAGCAAAATTCGTATGGAACCTTCGTCATGAAAAAACCTTAATATGAATAATTAAAGCAGAATGTAATTTTACTGCTCCTAGCAACAAATATATCTAACAATTCAATTTGCGCAAATTTTTCCCGTATTTCCTTTTCCGTAAGTATTTAACTGTTTACCTTTTAGCTGTATAATCATTGATTCGTTTTGATTAACATTGTCGGTTACGACGTTCAAATTTTTGGTACAATGTGACAACTTCTCCCGAGCTTCGTGTAGTTCTCTTTCTATAACCCTATTTTGGACTATTAGAGATTCTTTTTCCTGTTTAAGTCTTTCTATATCAAGTACATGTGTTGAAAGTTGCCTTTGCAGAATGTCTTTGTCCGCATTAGCCCTTTCCAAACTGTCTCTGCAACTCCTCAAATCTTGTTCGATGGTAGATAAGTTTTCAGTTGTATTAATACATTTGTTCTTCAGTCTTGTTATCTCTTGAACAAGCTCTGCAGCCTTTATTATCAAACTCTCCGGTGAATATGTGTGTGTAGTATCACAAAAGTCGGAATCTAATGCGGCAGACAAGCGTCGAACTAAATCGTGAAATTGACCACGTGCGTTCTCTTTTTGTTCTTCTTCATTATGACACTCTATTTCCAAGGATCGTATCTTTTTCTCGTAATCTTTTATTTTCTCTTCGCAGTAACGGTTGTCTCTTTGCAGAGTCTGTAGACTGAGTTCATTTCTATTCTGCGATGCCTGCAAATTGCGTTGCAGTTCTTCGAGATCTTGAATTTTCTTTTTAAGCGAAGATATAATCGCATTTTGTCTGGCATTTTGCTCGCGTAAATGATCGATTTCTACCTGCTGCTCCAAAATCCTTTGATCGCGCGACAACATTTGATTTTTAAGGTCACTGTTCTAAGATAAAGAAAAGTAAAATAATTTTTTTATATAATATATCTTATATGTTATCTTATATAAAATGGATAACTTGGTAAATGTTTCTGGTGAACACAAAGTGAAAAAAGACTCAATTGTGATTCTAATTTAATGGCTACTTTCATTCTTACTTCGGATAATAGTTTGTCACGTTTGTATTGCAGGCCAGCTAAATCACTTCTGAGTGTAGTTATTACGTCATCCCCAATATCCGTATCCATCTGCAAAATTGAAATAATTTTGTTATCAATATATTGGAAGGTCGCTTAAAATCAATTACCGTAAAAAATACATGTAACGTACGCAACACCATTAAATTATGAAATTGAGGTTATTGTATCCGGTTTAAAAAATTCAATATTCAATCGTAAGGAGGACGATATTGCATGGCGTGTAAAAGAAGACTACAGTAAATGTACTTGGTACGTATTTCTACAAAGCGTTGCGTGTTTGGGGTTGTAAGCCGTTCTTACCGGTAGTCACGATATTTTCGTGCGACTGTATAAGTTCGTTCTTGCCTGCTATGTGATACCTATCTTGATGATTTACATGAAAAGCAGAAAGCCTTTCCTCGATTCATTATCTGTGTACAGCTTTGTTTATTGATTACGCAACTTTGTTAGGTATATACATCTGAATGTTAATTCTGCCTTTGTTTCATTAAATTTTATGTAAAGACATACTTGCCTTATAATGGCTACAACTTTTACTTGTCATACTAAATACTTGATCTGCGTGAAAATCGAGTCAGAGCATCGAGAATTTTAATGAGAAAATTAAAATGATAGGAAAAATCTCTTTGTCAAGTACATATGTAATATATATGACTTATTCGGAATACATATACCATACGGTACGGTATACATTACCATAGTAATATGAGATACGTTAGAGAACATATTTATAAAAAAGGAAGTATTTCTTGTATTCATATGAAATTTACACATTTTAACTTGTTTATTAAATAAGTTCACAGTATTTGAGTTTGGGTTAGTGTGATATATTCAGCTATGAATATTGCAAAAGATTGTTTTCTCAGACTGAATTGATTTTTTATTAATAAAAAGTGAACTTTTCTTCAATTTCATTTGATATTTGGGGCCTTGTTTCTCTATGTTATAATAGAGCTTGTAGATTATTGCATATAATAATCTTAGAAAGAATTTCTAAGTTAATATTATAAATAAACGATAAAAAGTAGTAAATACTACTTTTAAACTTGTCATACGAAATTTATCGTGAAAGTAGTACTTTTATTGTAGTGTTATTTAATCTGCCTAATATAATATAAAATAATATCCTTTTCATTTTTTGACTGATTTTCAAGGTGAAATGCGGTAGATGTAAATGCGGCAACGTAAGTCCACGGATTACTAAAGCAACTTACTAGTAAAATAACGATTAAGGCATAAAATTAACGAGCACCTCTTACTCGATAAGTTATTTTTGAATGTGAAACAAATGAATTTCCTATGTTAAAATAAGTTATACCAAAACGTAAAAATTTTATAAAATTATTTACCTTTATCTCGGTTGGGCTTTCCTCACATAACATTTTATAAATCTTCCAATCTTCTGTTTCGTCTTTATTTTTGTTATCACCCATCACCGCCACACGAAGTAGACTACCTGATATACAAATCAACTACGAACAACGAGAGCGTTGCTACGAACAGCGCGGATGTAAACATTGAAATCGATTAGCGTGTTTGGGCTAAATAAAAATAATTTTAATGTTTAAAATTAAACTAACAGTTTCGTCAACAGAAGACCGATGTAAAGCATAATACTTTCCGTTTCGTATTTTTTATATAAAAAGTTGTAAAACAAACAGGCGGTTCACTTATTTTATATTAAGTTATTACTGCCGCCCATGGACATCTATGATACCTTTAAAAGGCCTTAAAGGTGGTAACACACCTACAACCGCTCAGGTGTTGATTTCCATGGCTGGCGTTTTTTCACATAAAAAAGTACAAGCGAACACGCGAGATAAACGTATTTGCATCGTAAAGTAACTAGTCGATCCTTTGTTAAGAGGGTTTGTTCTCTAATTTGCTGAATGGGCAAAAGGAGGGAAAATAAAAGTTGAAAATTATTTTTATTCGTTATTTATATCTCGAAACTGCTTCCTTGACTTCTTCGTCGGTATATAATTTGTTTCCATGGAGCTCTTTTTTCATTTATGGAAAGAGGCAATTATCACTCGGAGCCACTACTAGACTAGACTAGACTAGACTAGACTAGAGCAGGACTCTTGTTCCATACCTACTGTCCACCGTCCCAGGATTGTTGCGTAGTATTCATCGGTTATAGAGACATCTTTATCCTAATGATCGATCGATAAGATTTTTTTCTTAGTCCCAAAAAATTGTCGCCATGAGTTTCTGGCTGATTATGACACCTTAAATTTCTTGCGAGGAGCCATACCCGTTTCTTGCCACTGCATGAAATCTTGCTTATACTCAAGTTCTTAATAATGATCCCAAGATTCATCTCCAGTAAAAATTCGACGCGCTATTGTTTTTGCCGCGCCGTGAGCATTCTCTGTACCCAACGTGCGTTGTCCTTAGTCATGCCAAGATGTTCCTGCAGAACTTAAAACAAAGTTGTATCAGATACTTAAACAATTGTAAAACTAAGTTTTCGACTTTTTTCCTGGTCCGGAGTGGTCACCTCATTAGATCGTTGTTCGTCGATTGTTTCCCCGTCTTGCTTAAGTCTGTGCCACTTGCATAACAAGGTTTTCCCACGGCTAGAGTCCCCGTAAGCTGATGACGTCTCTTCCATCCAATATTATTTTGAACAGATTTTCCTTTCTCGGTGAGATACGTGATGACGGCGCGATACTCGACTGTTGTTGTATGTTACACAATGACCCTTTTATTTCATTTTAAATTGGTAAACAAAGCGGAAACCACCTTAATTTGGTGTCGATCATTTCGAGGCACATTGTTATCTGCTATGCAGATGACACTAGCATTTGCCGATGGGGGTAACTTCGAAAGCACCAGTTGGCTTGCCGAGCTTGGGGTGGGTGGCTTGCGTTGTGGGCAAAATCCATGAGCTGGGTCTTCGGATAGCGCCTCATAAGACCGAGGCGCTTTGGTTCCACAAACTTCCTAGAGGAAGAGTCCCACCCAGTTGGTCGGTTCGCGTGGGTGACGTGCAGATCCCGGTGAGACCAGTGATGAAATATCTGGGTCCCACTCTGGATTTCCCCCCGATACAAAAAAAGGCACTTTGACTTGATCTTTGATTCATTAAAATAACACTTGATAGCGTAATATTTATATGGTGATCCAAATAGAAAACAATCCTTTAGAAATATTTAAATATACATATATTAAGTAATTAATGATATCCATTGAACGAATACAGCTTAAAGAAAAGCAAACTCAAAGTTTAAAGTGTGGTAAATTATTAATGACGAATAAATACAATAGCTTTATTTCCGGCAAAGAAAAAAATAGACATAATCACATTCTAACGTGTTTTAGTATATCAAATTATGAAAAATGAAACAAAGATTTTTATTTACGCATTTATTACGTATTCACGTACAAAGATTTCCTATCTTAGTGACAAATAGTACATACATATCGTGGGAATGCTTTGAAGTAACTACAAAGTGGAAAATTTTTGCAACCATCGCTTCAATGGCGCAACAAATATTTGTTTTCATCACAAAAAATATTTTCAGTAATATTTATCGTGCTTTGTGTTGAAACAGATTACAGACTGTATCTGATGTTTTCGCAAATAGTTAACTTTTACTGTGAATTCCTATGAACGTTATATCTTTAATTTGAGTAACATTTATTAATACAATTGTGTGTCTATGTATATCGGATTACGTTATGTTAATTAATAAAATGGTTTCCAAAATATCTGGCTATCCTGTACTTAATCCACACGTGGTACTGTCGACCATACGTTTACAATTAAATTCTACCATTTTAAGTTGTTGCCATATTGACATTTTGTTGTATATATTTCTTTTGACTAATTCTAGTACTTCTTTTCCATTGGCACTTCAAAATTTAATTTCTGTATAGTTCTAAATATTAAAAAAACTGAGAGGTTGACATGCCACATGTTACGATAACATCTTAACCGCTCAGTTGATCAGTTATAGGTCGGAAAATGAAAAAAATCTAAAAATCTGAATGCTGCGCAAGTTTTATTTTTTAATTATAAAACAATACGATTTCAGAAAATAATCTATATCGTTAAACGATTTCTAGTAAATATTGACCAGAAATTTGTATCCGACTATTATGATTTTCCGGTCAAAATTCTCCTTAATTATAAGATAATCAATGTTACCTGTCTGTAACAAAATGGGATATTCTTACAGTTTAAAGAAAAATTTATACTTATATCTAAGACACAATCTTTTTTAATTTTTTTAAATGAACGATTAATGTTATGGCCTAAATTCAGAGTTACCATGTTAAAGAGGTAATATGGACTGATCACAACTTAATATCACAAGTAATACACAATTAATCGCACTAAATCTGACACAGATCCATACATAAAAAAACAGTTTACTAATCGGCCGGTTTCAACATTCGATTTATTTTTAGATTTGGTTACTGCAGATAGAATTTTGACTAGTATTATGGAACTAATATCAAAAACCTATCGATACTTACTAAATTTACAGATAAATAGAATATTGAAACCAGTCGTTAAAGAGTAAATGCTTTAGTACATTAACGTTAATGTAATAAATAATTAAGTAAAAAATTACTGCGCAGTTAAGCAAACTAGTCTAAATTAAAAATAAAATGAAAAAAAAGTAAAAATTAAAAAAAAAAGCCTTATTTGCTCTCGAAACACAAAACGTTCTAAATAATAAAAGTTGTCCTCAAGGACAAAATGGGAAACCATTAAATCTTATAATGCTATTTTGAAGCCGGTGGGCAATGATGAGAAAGTAGGAAAAATAACAAAACAGCAGTCAAATATAGAATTAATTAAAAACAATTAAAGAAAGTATAAAGTCTCGGTGAGTGAGTAATGCGGTTGGTTGTGGAGGCTGTTGGCTGCTAGGAAAGCTAATTTGTGCGCATACTGGCACACAGACGGTACCCGTACTTGGTTTGAACAGTTGAAGTACAAGTACGTCAATTTGTAAGTTAAGCGTTGAATCTGAAAAGAAAAAAGGTTACATATATTAAAATCCTCAAACTCTACTTTTTCACATGTTAATCAAGGCGAATAGTGGGTACCAAGCACTCACAGCACATTACCGTCAAGTTACAATTCGCGAGAAAAATATTCAATTATCGATATGGTTGACTATTACTTAATCTCAATTAATCGATAGATTTTATCAAAGCCTAGGTTGTAGTCATAGCTTTAAGTTACCTCAAAATACTGTCAATACCTTGAAAAAATATTTGATCAAAATAAATTATAAACTTTAATGTTAACATGTATTGAAGTAAATAGTAAAATAAGCACATTGTGTTTTCAAAGAGTAAACAATTGTAAATATTACGATGTAACTATCGGGTAAAAAGGTTTGTGTCCTAAGATCATGGAAATAGTATTTTAGTGCAGGAAACGCCGAAAATATTAGCTATAAATTAAAAAGACTAAAATTAATGTAGATTCATTAATATAGGTTATAATTATGAACATAAAAAATGAGTTTAATTTTCGACTAAATTAATTAATTTCACCAAAAGTCATAAGATCCTTTCAATTAGTTTTCTCCAGCTTCCAGTTTTGTCGTAAGCCTATTTTTCGTAATTTGTTCTTAATTGTTGTTTAAGGTTTAAAGACTATTTATAACTTGTTATTTTAAGATGCGACCAAAAGTGAATGCTAAGTTCCCAGACAATTATGATTGTGAAGTAGAATGTGTGCCTTTGTTGTCTGTATTTTGAACTGTAGCGATTACAGCAAGGATTGTAAGTGTTGGAAAGCAGTGATTTCGGTTGCACACGTTCGGTTTGGATGTGTGTAAATAAAAAAGAGGAGTTTCGGAGTCTTTTGAATAATCTCTCCTGAAAAAATGGCGCGCGCATTTTTTGGCTTTTTGGCATTTCAAAAGTTCAAGAAAATAAATAAAACTAAATTTTAATATAAAACCGTATAACACCGAAAATTTCATTAGTTTCAGTAGGACCCAAATTGTAATGATATTGAAAGGATTTTGGTTTTGTTTGTACTCACGCGATCTGGTTCCAGGCCTGTAGTGTCCTCAATTACATTGTATGATGTTGGTGAGATGGTGCCTTCACGGACATTCTGAGACACTAAGTAGAAGTCATACCTGGAAAGGATTCACGGGAGACTCAGAATTTGATTAAATAAAGTGTTAAAACACGACTAAATGAAAAAAAAAAAAAAATAGGTTTTCATTATTTTCTTTAATTACGGTAATAAATGACTGGCTGAATGGATGAACTATAAAAAAAGAAATTTTTCATTTTCACTTCGTACGCACTGAAACATAGGCGGGAATACGGAATTTTGAGGGTAAATAAAATAATGTAACATATGAACTTTACAAAACGTATGAGGTAAATATACAAGTTCCGAGATCGAAGGTTCTAATCGTAGTGGCACCAATTTATTTTATGATAGTAGACGAGATGTTTGTAAGGAATTGGTGGCGCATTTGCTAAGTAACAGCTTCTCTCAATTAGGTGGGATAAGGAGAGGTGGAAGGTATCACTACATACTATAAAACAAAGTCGTCCCGCTGTCTGTCTGTCCCTATGTATGCTTAGATCGTTAAAACTACGCAACGGAACTCGATGCAGTTTTTTTTACTAGATAGTGATTCAAGAGGAAGGTTTACATGTATAATACATTGTACCCATGCGAAGCCGGGGCGGGTCGCTAGTTAGTAATAAGATTATGTAAAATATATTACTATAACATAGACATATTAACTTCAGAGCAAATACTCGTACCGCTAATATACAGGGTGACTTTTCTAAAGGTGCCCAAATTCGCACAGGAGGTTCAGACTCGGTGGTATAATAGTGCATTGAAATTAAAACAAAAAATTGTCATTCTATTCCCTAAAAAACAGAACTTGTTAACAACGCGATAGCCATTCATAAATGCGTCGTATACTTTTGAAATGAACTTGTTTGCGTGTTAGTTATGAATGATCGCGCGTAAAATAAATGAGTTGCCCATAAATTACGTATTTTTTGAGATAAGTTCAAATGAATGTATTTAATTAATTACGAGTGATTTTAAATATTTATCATTATTACATTACATTATTTATGTCTAGAATTAAATTAAAAAGAAATGGATACACTTAGAAAAACCACCCTGTATAACATATTACCGGTATGAGTAAAGCTCTGAATTTGTACCATGCACTCATTTTTTTCTAAAATGAATAATAACTTCGTGGGAAGCTTCAAATGGAATATACAAATATAATTTGAAGGAATAAAGCAATTCTTAGCATAGAATTTGTAAATTATTATGTTTATTATTTTACCTTTCAGGCAGAGTTACAACATCATCAATAATTGTGCCTGGTTTCGGATTTTCACCGGACCTGCCAGTATTCACAAATATACGGGTGTTAATTCTCTTTGAGACGATTATAAACGCCATTTTGACTTCAGCTCCTCCATATATCTCATTGAGCTTCTTCTTAATCTCAGTAACCTGTTATGAAAAAATATACAATGATAAGTAAAAAGGGGAATACACCTTTTATTTATGAAGGACAAAGACCAAGTTATACAAACTTCGTGGCTGTGGACATATGGGATCTGACCATCTCCAACACCATCTCTATAGATAAAAATGCGGCTAGGCAGGGTACCTAAAAATATACAATCAATTCAATTATTTCATAATCCAAATTACTCGGAATTATCAAACAAAGTTGTTTTATTGTGAACAGAATGAATGGTATAAAATTGTCAAGTATAAAAATTGCAATGAATCAAATAAGAAATTTAATTTGCAAAGTTACCATTCCTCTCTCTGTATTTCCTAAGCGCAGAAGCAATATTAAAGCTCATGTGTGCACTAAGTTCCTCTCCCGAGGTGTGCGCATTCACAGCGGAATAGTACTGTGTCATTTGTTTGTCTAATGTCGCAACAAACGCGCCGAAACTCTTCTCCTTGGACCGGGTATCGTGACACACGTCGTAGCCAATCACCATTAGGGTGTTTAAGGGTATCTCAACAGTCCACGGAGCACCTCCAAGCTGGGAAGGAAGATTAAAATTTAGGACGAATTCACAGTTACGGTGTAATATAATATTTTGTATAAACGAAACATTGGGCCTAGGATTTATCATTGCAGCTAAAGAGCTGGTGCACAAGGTGCACAAGGTGCACAAAGGTGCATTAAGTGTACATAACTAGTATTTTTGAAAATTGGGCTCCGGCTACCTCACTCACCAGACGAAACGCGAAAGTATTTGTCATACTTCCACTTTACGCCGGTCTTCTGTGAGGTCGTGGTACTTACCCGGACGGGCCTGCCCATTCGTGCAACAGCCGAGGCTGCTGCGTGGCCCTACCACCGTAAGCATAAGATTCTTACCTTACAATTAATCTGAATTGCAATTTTTGTTGCAATGGACATAGCGGACTTGCTGGACATATTGCGAGCGCATACCACTTGTGTCGGCACTGCGCGATCTATTGTACATTTCTTTTTAATTGCCTCGTATCTGTGAGAGATAATGAGTAAGTTTTATTACATATGTTTGCGTTCTGCACTATTATTAAAATTCAATTTTAATATTAAAAAATAATCCTGTCTAAGCCAAAGTAAGAGAATTCGATATTATAAATAAGCTATGATACAAAACATTTCAGTAATTTTTCCTTATTTCAATTTGAAATTAGAATTTATACAATCCAAAAGTTTAAAGTCATTAAAAATATTAAAATAATGTTTTCTATAATCAATACCTGTCTGGATAGTTTCTTGCCAAAACACAAAGAATTAAGGAAGGATTTTTTCGAGCAATGACGTTTTCACACATGTTAGCATAATCCATGTTTCCATCCCTTTGAATAGTTACTAAAACCAAAATAAAAAAAAACCTATTAACACATAATTTTAAGCTGTGATAGATCAGTGTTCGGCCTTTAATTCAATATACTCGAGCAACCTGAGTTCGATCCCCAGTGCCAGCACCAATGAAATTGTTAATTTTAAGTGTTGAATTATCACATGCTCAGCGGTGAAGGAAAACATAGTGAGGAAACCTGCAAAAAAAATGTATTTAGAAGATATGTGAAGTCCGCAAATCTGCTGGTGGTGGACATGTGAAGGCCGCGTGGTGGACTATGCCCTGATACCCTCTGTCCAGAAGAGCCCTTTGCCCAGCAGTGGGACATGTATAGGCTGATACTTTACTTTTATACATAATCATGATAAGGAGCATTTTTCTCCAGGCACAGTTCCTATGGTATATCGTTTGACGACATGACATCCGTAGACCATAAGTTAAGATTATGTCAACTCCCTTTTATGGGAAAAGGTGGCATACAAATAGGTGAATCAGATATTTAATTGATTACACACAGGTTTGCTTTCAACTGCGTCGCCAACCTTTAAAATTGTAGCATCCTGTTTCATTACTCACTTAGGAGAATAGCAAAACTAAAAATACTGTACACCGGTTTACAGTGAAGCCATAGCCGTCCCGTTCCAGCAGACCCATTCATGTAACAGCCATAGAAATTACCATAGAATTAGTGTAACTTAATATTACATCTATCAAATATCATATGCATATCAACATTTCAAACTTTTTTTACGTTACTAAATTAAATTTATAAAATGTATTTCTTTAATTTTACTGAAAAAAAAAAATATGTTTATTGTATTAAAATATTAATAAAAAAAATCAATTCATTAACCAAATGCTTTTTTAAGAATTTAATTTTGAATATTAATGTCTCTGCACTTAAGATGAAAGTTAAAAGATGTAAATAAACTTAAAAAAATATATAAAATATTACCAATCTCAGGTCTAGGCATATGGAAACCAACACCTTCACCGGTTTTTATTATCATGTTAATAAAATTCCCAGTGTCCTGTCTTTGACGATCTGGAGTAATCACAACCCATGATGGCATGGCAGCAAGTGAGAGGAGGGGTTTGGATCTATTGAAAAAAAAAGTTATTGACATGATAATTTCTTGTATTCACTCGATTACACGTTATAAATGAAACTATTTTATTTATTTATCGCGTTTATTTTTAATTCTCGCCACATATTTTAATTTTAGACGGACCGTCTGTTCCGTGGCCATGAACGTTGTAAAGGTTTCGCAACGTCGGAAATTTAATTTGATTAAATAAAAAAAATAGTTTCATTTATAAGTTATAGATATCTAAAGTCGAGTTTAATAAATAAAGCGTAGAAAATTTCGAAGTTGCCAAGATTCGCCAGCGGCTTTTGGGCAGTGCCCAGGCGCTCTAGCCTACCGAGCTAAACAAACGATATCCTCACGTAGCGAAAATCTACAATGGTATCTAAGTCTACGGCGTATCTACAATGGCGACAATAAATGAACACACATATAGAGGATAACTTTTTAAAATTGTATTAAAGATCTACATTCTTTTATATATCCCTTACGTATAAAACTATAACGTAAAGTTCATTTCTAAAGGTCACAAAGCATATGAATGGGTTGAATGAATTTAAAAGAGACAAAACATACTGTTAGAAGGAGAGGCTTGTAATGCGACGCTGTGGTGCGAGTTTTATAGGATGTTACAAATTTTGTTTCTTTTTAACTTAATTAGTTTATTTGAATTTTATTTTTTAGTTCTGGATTTTATTTAACGTTAATATTTTTTTATGATTATTGGCAAGTAGCGTTAGACGCGTGTTTTATTGTCGCAATGGTAACGACACCTGATTTATATATATATAAATAAATCCCTCTTTGCCTTGGTCACGCCATCACGCATGAACGGCTGGACCGATTTTACTTTTTTTTTGGTTGTGTTTGTTATTATCAGGAGAAGGTTATTAAAGAAAAAATTTTAAAAAATGACTTCTTCTATATTCCCGTACAAAAGATTCGTAATAATGCTTAAAGGTCAATTTGAACTTTAATACCATACCATAAAGTTTAAGTGTTAATGGAGGGGTTCCGGGAAGGAGAAACAAGTGAGCGACCGTGGCAAAATGTCACTTGAAATTTAAGCGTCTCTTTGATGTGCATCACTAAATAGTATAAAACAAAGTATTCCCACTGTCTGTCTGTCCCTATGTATGCTTAGATCTTTAAAACTACGCAACTGATCTTGATGCGGTTTTTTACTAGATAGAGTGATTCAAGAGGAAGGTTCATATGTATAATACATTGCACAAAAAAAAGGTAAAGTTAAGGTCTATAAATATTCAATATAGTGAGAAGTTTATGGTATATTGAATTGTATTTCATCAACTTTAAGATTCATACATGTTAGATCTACACTAAATTAATATTAGTAAGTAAGGAAACATATTTCATGTCCCACTAATAAGCATAGACCTATTCGATACAGACGGAATAGAGACTTATTACATATTTATATTTTTAGTTTGCCGTGAATACCTTTATAAAAATTTCCCTCAAAATGTATTACTTAACTATGAAGGTATGGGAAACTGGCATGGATATAAAAATGTAAGATTAAATGTAGCGCCCAATGAAAAACCATGGCATGGTTGCTCAGTCACTTATAAGCACAAGTTTTTGTAAATGTGATTATAAATTCTTTTTATCTACAATGACATCACAAAATGTATCAAATCAAATCATTTATTCATCTGTCTATAGTAATTTTTTTTAATCTACCACCGTTTCGTAATGAGGTTTTTGTAACGGAGAAGAAACAGGCGAAAGAAACTCCGTAGGTATCCTAAAATACATTGTTTTACAGTACAATTTTTTTTATTTAGTAACAGCTTAGGAGCGATCATATTATTCCCAGGGGTTATTATCTTTCTTGTATTCTTTTAATTGTAATAACCCTTTTTTTAAAGTTTTTTTTATAAGTTTACATTATGTACATCAGTATTTTTATTAAAATTATTTCTATGTACATACATTAGATTTTCATATATATATATATACACACACACATATATTGAATATTTATTTCTTTAAATTTTTCTCAGAGACATTCAAATTTAGATTGTAAATTGCTTTTGTGTGACATTATGCTATGGAAATAACTAAAATAAACGATTCTAGCTCTATTTAAATCAGTCAGACATCTTATTTTCCTTACAGCAAATGAATGAATGAAATATACTTTATTGTACACAAACAACGGATATTGAATAATCAACAAAAAATAATTATCGCTAAAAAGCGTTTTCTTCAAGGCAACCTAGTAAAAGAGATAGTAAAAACAGTAGCATCGGGTAACGGTGTACACTGAATTCATAACAGAAACTAATAAGTTTATTAGTAGCTTAGTATGCTGCAAAACTTAACCTGCTCGCAAGTTTGGATATATGGTGGCCCCATCGAAGCTTTGAATCAAGAGTTATTCCAAGAAAAACAGTGGTATGCACAAGTCCTAACTCATCCCCATTTATAAGTACATTGGTACCCAAGTGTTTAACATTAGGTGTCGAAATTTTATACATTTAGTTTTATTTCCATTTAAAAGTAAATTATTACCATTAAACCAAGGAACTATTTCTGATATAGCATGATTTACCTCGTCAAGTGTTACAATACGTCGTTTGATTTTAAAGATTAATGAAGTATCATCGGCAAACAATACTATGTCGTGTTTTTTCTCTACTAAGTAGGGTAAATCATTAATATAAACAACAAAAAGGAATGGGCCGAGAATCGAGCCTTGCGGAACGCCAATTGAGATCATCGACCCAGAAGAACTAGCACCATTAATTACAATTTTCTGAATTCTTTTACATAAATATGACTTAATAAAGTCAAGCGCGGTATTTTTAATGCCATAGTGGCGTAATTTCCTGATAAGTGGTGCAGTGCATAATTGTGGTGCAAATACATTTATCTTAAGTAATGTCTCGGCAATAGTAGGAGAAGAATTCAACGACAATGTAGTTAAAATAGGAATTTCACTATAGAATTTCTCAAATACTTCAGCCTGATAATTTGTTGTAAATTTATTGTTAATATTAAGTTGGTAGTCAGAACTACGCAATTTGTTCCTTCCCCTTTCACTATTAATGGTATTCCAAGTAATTTTTACTTTATTAGAAGCATTTTTAATTTTATTGCTTAAATATAATGACTTGGCTGCAAAAACACTTTTTTTAAATATTTTTATAATAATAATAATAATTTATTCGCATAAAACATGGTACATAATATAATGGTGTGTAAATTTGTTACTAAAGCTCACATGTTTGCCAGATGCAGCATGCGAAAACTAATATTTGAATAACATGCATATTAATGAACTACATGCAATTTAAAATGATAAAACTTATTGTATAAATTATAATGTTGTTTTGCTATCATGCTATTAAGCTATTAAATAAGTATTTTGAAAACTATTATTACTAAAGAATTAAATAAGTCAACTGAACACAAGTAAAATAATTATAGTAATTAAAATGTCAACATTATAAAAAGAAAAAATATAAGGAAGAATAATACAATAATAATAAAATGTTTTTTGTCGTCACGCAAAGCAAAAAAAACAAACAATAACAGAATTTTATTAACTACTGGTGCAGATATTCATTAATGTTTTTGAAAACTTTTAACATTGAATTTGAATAACTTTTAACATAATCTTTAAATGTCTTTAGAATGATTGTATGACCTTTCACTGTAAAGTTCATATAATTTTAGTCTACTTCGGTGGATTCCTACTGTTGCCCATTCATTAAAAGTCTTAAGACTGTTCAAAAAGACAATTGTTATAGTATGGCAGCATAGGAAGTTTTTTTATTATATTACTTCTAAACTTTTCCTTGCGATATGTATTTATCGGAACAAGCACAGCTTTCTTAGTACCTTCGATTTTAATGACCTAAGACAAAGTGACAAACTGCCTGGAATGGTCAGAACTTAATTTATGAATTATTTATGTGTGCAAGGGTTTGACATCTGTGAAAATATTATCTATACATGTTGCACTTGTCTCTGTTATTCTTGTAGGTTCAGAAAACAAGTTGATAAAATTAAATGATTTTAGCAGTGAACAGAATCTCATATTGATGGAAGAAGCTTCTAGGAGATTAATGTAAAATTCTTCGCATATGACGACAGATTTATTCTTTTTATGAAGTTTATGCAAAACATCTTCCAGATTTTTTCAAAACATTCATACAAGGCACAAGGCGATCGGTAAACGCTGACAACAATGAGATGCTCAAGTTCGACATGAGCCATTTCTATAGTTCTCTCAACAGAGGGGCTCACAATATCTTTACATTTCTTAAATGACAAGTATGTAGTCGATAATATTAAAGAGCCGCCACGTAACGCTTTTTCTCTATTGAAAGAACTAACAACCTGGTGTCTATCTATAGGTATATTTTAAACTGATGTCTTCTTAATGGACATTTTTATAACTACATTTTCTCAACTGACCCAAATATAAAGTAAACAGCCTATTCATGTCCAACTGCCAGTTACAGGCCTTCACTAAACAGAAGGTTGTATTAGTGTGTAGTTCACCACGCGACCCCACTACAAATGGCAGACTTGGCATATCTTACAATTGTTTTTTGTTATTATAATTTACTGCCAGAGTACATGAGACGTCGGCACTTAAAATTGCAATTGAAAATTTCATTGATACCGCCACTGGGATGTGAACACAGGTTATATCAAATTAAAAGCGAGCGCCGGTGCATCGAGCTATCAGGGCTTGAATAATAATTAAATTATAATATATTATATACTCTTTTTATTTTGCATTTTTTGTAATTCTTGGCGCCACCTGGAGAAACTGACACTTTAACCGGAAGCCGACGCTGAAGTAACATTTTACACTGAACACTTAATAGAGTAGTCATATTTAAATCCATTTCATCTTTAAGACACCCGTAAATTAATAAATTGAATGATATTTTACCTCATGTCTCTGGTCCAACCATCAGTAGTATCTCCTGCAGGGTATTTGATATTATTACCCTGCACTATATTTTCTGGCGGCAGTTGACGACCTTTTATGTTAATTAAACGATTGGAAAGTTTCATATCCCATGTCGCCAATTCCTGTTGTAAGAAACAGCATGTCACAACCAAATAGTTATTGTTAATTCATACATATAAAAGTCATAAAACAGGATAGGTAATGGAACTATTTCTTTTATCCGTCAGTTAGGGTAGCAATAAAGAATTGTAATGCAGGTGTTTTATTTGCCTGGCTAGGGTATTAATAATCAATCAGTTTGTAATATTTTTTTAATGTAAGAAGATGGCAGGCGAGCTGGTGGTACACCTGATGTTAAGTGCTGATCGCCACCCAGATGCCATAAAGTGAGCCCCACCTATCTCGCTCACCATATGAAAAGCAGAAGTTTAATTCTTCCACTTCGTACCAGTCTTTTGGACCTGCCCATTCATGCAATGCAGTGAAGACTGTTAAGTAACAATAAACTGCTAGCCCTTACCGCAACAACCTCCTTAGTCTGAGTAAGACGTCTGTTAAAATCCAACAACTTCTTAATCCGCATATCAGGGCCAATTTTGGTGTGCACTGCTAAAGTACGCATCAGCTGAAAGTTTGCTCGCATGGAGTCAGATAGACCTGTCTGTCTGCACAACTCTGGTACTAGGTACACCAGTTCAGGCATACCAGCACGGATATCACGAGCCTTTGAGCGTGATATGAGAAGCGGTTGACCCACATCTTGAATACGAATGTTATATTTCTGTAATTTAAAAAAAATACTAGTATGATGTGTACAAGATTTGACTTATCCCAATAATTATAATGTGAATAAGTATATAAACTTGGTGGTAAAAGAACCATCTCAATACATATAATTACTTCACCAACCTTATAATAGTAATCTATGTAGGTGATATCACCATCTTTCATTTTAAAAGTAGATTTTGGTGTTGCCTGCCATGTAACATCATCAACTCTGTATGTTTTTTTGTTATAATCTGTCATCACAATTTTACCTAGAAATGGTAAGCTTTATATTAAAAAGTTGCATTATAATGCTTCATGCAAATTGAAATAATCTAGTTTTTTTTTAAAAATAGCATCCAGCTTTTTACAAACATCACTCACCTACAATATCTTCCAAAAAAATTTTTTTGCAATTTGCGCCTTTCGTAGCTGTATATTCATTCAACATTTGTAGCACTGTGTCCATTCGTAAAACCTAATAGAAATAGAAAAATACTTTGAGTTACACAATTCATTCTAGATAAAAAAAAATTATTATAATGAATTATGAATTATTTAATGATGCATTAGTTACTTTGTGTGCAATTTCTGTCACCATCAAAATTTTGTCTTCATACTGATTAATAGTGGTCTTGTAACCAGGCCAAATTTGAAGTTTGTACTCTGGAATGTCAATCTAAAACAAATTAAATAAATAATATTATATTTATGTTTTTTTAATTTTCGTCCACTAAATAATATTCACAAGGACAAATCATTGTAATAACGAATTTACTTGAAATTATTTTCATATTTGGCTGTTGTCTTGGAAGGAAAATAAATATAAGCATTAATCCATTGCTTGTCCCTTGACCTTAATCACTGATAGCTGATTTTATGTGTGCACTCGCTTTGAATTCAATATACTTGAGCAATCTGAATTTGATCCCCAATGCCAGTACAAATGAAATTGTTAGTTTTAAAGGCTAACTTAACTTATCACACGCTCAGCGGTGAAGGAAAATCGCGAGAAAACCTGCATATTTTCGAAATAATAACAAAAAAAATGCAGCAATTCAGTGATGAATCATTGCAATGACAATATACAGTGTGTCGTTACAACCGCGACAATAAATGAACACACATATAGAGGATAACTTTTTAAAATTATATTAAACATTTACGTTCTTTAAACATCAATATTTACAGAGTTATTAAATTTTCCAACACAAACATTTTTAGAACAGTCTTATGTGTAAAACTGTAATGTAAAGTCCATTTGTAAAGGTCACAAAGCATAGGAATTGGTTGAATGAATTTAAAAGAGATAAACATACTGTTAGAAGGAGAGACTTGTAATGCGACGTTGTGGCAACGAGTGAAAACGTCTCTGAATGTTTGAATCAGTGAATCAGACAGTTGTAGTTGTATAGCATGTAACATATTTTGTTTCCTTTCCGTTAATTACTTTGTTTGAAAAATATTTTTAAATTATGGATTAATATATATTTTTAATTATGGTTACTTACTCACTTAACTCAGAAGTATAACACTTCTACTTTACGCCGGTCTTCTGTAAGGTTGTGGAACTTACCCGGGCGAACCTGCTTATTCATGCAACAATGAAGACTGTTGCGCGGCCCTAACACTGTTAAAAATTTAGAATTACATGTGAAAACTAAATAGGTAGGTAGGTAAGAACCTATACAGCGTGTCGTTACCATCGCGACAATAAATGAACACACATATAAGGGATAACTTTTTAAAGTTGTATTAAACATTTAAATTCTTTAAATATCAATATTTACAGAGTTATTAAATTTTCCAAAACAAAGAATTTTAGAACACCCTTACATATAAAAGCGTAACGTAAAGTTCATTTGTAAAGGTCACAAAGCATATGAATGGGTTGAATGAATTTAAAAGAGACAAAACATACTGTTAGAAGGAGAGGCTTGTAATGCGACGCTGTGGCGCGAGTTGTATAGGATGTTACAAATTTTATTTCATTTTAACTTAATTAGTTTATTTGAAAAATGTTTTTTTTTTAATTATGGATTTTGTTTAACGTTAATATTTTTTTATGATTATTGGCAAGTAGCGTTAGACGTGTGTTCATTTATTGTCGCGATGGTAACGACACGCTGTATAGTTTTACCCATCAGTGCATATATATAGCCAATGGGCTATAATTATACATAACTACGAAATGGCGCCATCTGTTCTGCAGTTTACATCTGCCGAAATCTCAAAGAACTTTTCCAACGAATATTGGAACGAAAGGTGTTGCCTATAAATAAAAAAGTATAATAAAACTACTCATAAGTTTAAAAAAATACCTCTTTTTAAAATTTATGATAAAATCTTATACCTTTGCTACAGGATCAAAAAAGTCTCTTCCAACAAGTTGTAGCTGCAGTAGGTTGAAGCATTTGCGGATAATGATGTTAAAGACCTGGATATAATGATAATCTCCTGGAGTGACATCACAAGTTAGCTGTAAAAAAATATAATATCTATAGAAAATCATTATACATTTAGTTTTTGTAAACATCACATTTTTAACTACATCTTTTTTACCAATATATGTATGTATACATCTATATTTAATGCTATGGAGTTGGTTAAATATGAAACCATGTAATATTGTCAACAAAAAACAGAATAGTAGTTGAATTAAAAAGATTATTTTATTATGAACTCTGTGGTTCTGAATTAATGATAAGTTTTTTTCTTCAATTCTGGATCTCTGATATTAAGATAGATTGTTGATTTTTATTGGAACTTAAAATATCACATACATATCTAAAAATTATTGATGTAGAGAAGACCAATCATGTAGCTCATATTTGGAAATATTAGCATCATTAGTTTTACAAGTTATCTTAAGTATTGTTCAGAGTTCTTAATATACTACTATTTTTTGTGTACAGAAACATGTCTTACTTTTATCAGGATTCTCATACGTTCTCCATCAGTTTTGCGGTCAGAATAGAGTTCAAGTGGTTCAGGATGAAGTCTTTTAATTGTGTACAGTACAGTTCCATCAAAAAGGTATCTGAAATATTATACATGAAACTCAATATAAATGTGAGTTGAACCTGGAACAAACTTGGAAAACATGAATTTTGAAAATTGTATTGTGAATAAAAATATTTCAGTTTTAATTGCTTATAATTAGTGTTTAAATTCCCCACAATTCAATCACTGCAGAGTCAAATAGAAGAGGTGGAATTGTTATATGCCCTAATGTCATAGTTAACCTGGTTTATTCATTTGATCCAATTTAATTTGTTTAATTTGATCCAATTTACACAAAATCAGCCTTGAAAAATAAATTTGACTGTGTAGTATTCAATTGGGCAAATAACAATTCTCTATGGGGCTTTGAAGACGGGAGATAGTTAACTACTCAAGCGGTGATTATATAAATAATAGTTCACTACTCAAGCTAATGCAATTGGTTCTACAAAAGTGGACATGCGCGCCAATGTTGCCCCAATATGCAATTTTTTTAGCATGAAGTGTTATGGACTTGGCTGCTAATAAATTACTGGATTTTAATGTGATGATGGGGACAATTACTTATTTTTAAGGTTGTCTTTATTTCAATACTCCCATTTCATTCTTGGCAGAAAATCAATAAAAATGAATTTAAATGTGTGAGATCCATAAGTAATTTATTTCCTGAGCGTAATCTTAGCATATATTCAACAAATCTTTTTCAAAAACAATGCTATAATCTGCCAAGCAAGTGAATATAAGACCTAAGTAGCATTGGAACAAAAACCAATGTACCACATATTATATTTTTTCGGGAAATTATAAAATAATACATGCCTATGGATTTCCAATTTAGAGATAAACAAAGTTTACTTGTTTATAGGTCTTGGTAACACTGTTTTGATATTCAAATCACAAATTTATGAGTGCAGTATGTGATGAGAAATAAAAAAAACTAAATGTATTTAACCATTTTATAAATAACCGACTTAAAAAAAGGAGGATGTTTCTCAATTCGACCGTACATATTTTTATTTATTTTATGTGTTCGCGGATAACTTCGTCGTTTATGAGCCGATTTTAACGATTCTTTTTTTATCGGAAAGGAGATGTCCCAAGGGTGGTACCATGATAAAGAAACCCAGATCTGATGATGGCATCCCAGAGAAATCGAGGGCCATCATTGAATACTATAGGTATTAATATATTTTTAATTTTCTGATTGAAGTCGGTTTTTTGCTAAAAATTATACTTGTTGATCAGGCTGACAGAAATCTCCTGTATAACATCATATTTTTTAGATGCATTTGTTTTATATCACATCGTCTTAGCTTTTTATAAAATGTTTCTGGATGTTTGACATTCTTTTAAACTCCAATCTTGACCCAGTAATAAAACTTCCCCATGTCTTATAATTCTTTGTATATGGATTTGTCGGTTTTCAACCAACCAAATGTATACCATGCCCAGGCCCATGAAAATTTATTTTTTTAAGGATTTTAATTTTTTTTATGTCATAAGCATGCAGGCGGTTCACCTGATGTTAAGTAAATACCGCCGCCCTCGAGGGTTACAGATGCTTTTGAAAATTGGGCTTCGGCTAACTCACTCACCTGACAAAACTCGAAAGTATTTGTCATACTTCCACTTTACGCCGGTCTTCTGTAAGGTTGTGGTACTTACCCGGATGAACCTGCCCATTTGTGCACGAGGCATTATTCAGTATATGTTCCATTCATGAAACAATTCCATTGATTTAACAGTTTATGCTCAGATTAGTGTATTTCGAGAAAGTTTTTAAAGACTAGTATTGGTTTATAAATAGATTTGATATGTATGTAAACTGCAGATTGCCATACTTAACATAAAAACTATTAAAATGTGATTTATCGGTTTTAGTTCCGACAATCCTCACTTGTTATATTTATTGAATTATGTAATTTATAATTACCCTCCAAGTATTTTACTATGAATTTTCAACAGCCCTTTACGAACAGCTGTGCTATCTTCATCAGGGGAAATATCAACACGATATTGATATAGACACCACTGTGGAGTAGTTTCCACAGCAAAATAGTTAGAAATTAAATCCAAAGGATGACCATAGCTACCTGTAACAGATAATACAAATAAGTTGGGTTTGTTTTATATAATAATAATTGTTTAACAATGACAAGGTGCAAGTAGTTTTTATAACACATTTGTAATTAAAATAAACATAAATTAATTGTGGTACGTGAATAGTAATATTATAAAATTGAAATGATTAGACAATATGATAATCAAAACAACTGCCAAAATTTGAAGCGAACATTTGAAACAACAAACAACTTTCTCAAATAAACAAATCAATGATGTTGCAAAAATACTTATATTATAGGGTGTATTATAAACATTTCAATAGGGTTCAGTAGACATAAAAACTTGGAATGAATAAATGATAACATTTAATCATTACACATTTTTAAATATAAACACTGTCGCACTTACAACTGTGGTAGGTCCATCTGGGTAATTACTAAATCCTAAGGGTGTTGCAAATGTCAATGAGTGACGGTTACCACTTAATATCAGGTGAACCACCTGTTCGCTAGCCAGATTCTCACATACAAAAATTTAGGCTTTATATATTTCGCCTCAGATATTATTAAAAAAGGTTCCCTTACAATGTTTCTGTAACTATCAAGGATATAGTTACAGATATATATATATATATATATATATATATATATATATATATATATACACACACATATATATATATATATATATCTGTAACTATCTATAACAACATTAAATTAAATGAAGAGTTCAGGCACTGAGCAACTATGGCAGTGAAAAGCAAAAATTTACCAAAAATTTGATTGAACTTTTAACTACAATGTCATCAGAGATTTATACATACAATTGTTGTTAACAGATGTTTTTTGTGTAATATAATTACTAAATATTCTCAACTGTTGCAAATATAGTAATCTTCATTAAAGTTATTCACAAAAATAATCATTGCATACAACCAAAAAGTAAACTGTAATGTTATATTTGAAAAATCAAGTAGAATGTGAAGATATATAAACATTACATTTGCAATATCCTACAAAAATGCAACATTTACAAAATTGAAATGAAAAACCGAAGAAAATATGTCAAAGAATATAAACTAGTTATCAGAAACCAAAGATAAATTTTCTTATTACAAAGTGTTTAATATAATAATCGCATGGTACTTATAGTTAAAGATGAGGGGGTACATAAAAAATAAAATAGTTACCCCTCTTTGATGTAACAGATGATGGACGTGTTCTCAAAACAAGGGTTTGTTCAGGAAGAACTCGACCACCTCCACGTCTGCAACCCCGACCGGCAACGGCTGAACTAGCATCTCCTGCTCCAGATGCGGATGCTTGCCCTGAAAAAAAAAATCACCTTTATTTTTCTATAATTGACCATAATAATTTTTGAGTAGACGTTTGAAATAACTTACCAAGGTCAATGGCTTGCATGCGTTGTTGTATGTCAACATCACCAGGATGGTGAGTAGTTGGTGTAGTTCGGTGAGAAGCTCGGCCAGCTTGAACAGATGGCATGGGCACACCAGCCCTAACTGCGGGAGCAATAGTCGGTGGACCCCAGGCTGATGGTGGTTGGGGTCGGGGTCCTGGTGCAGCTGATTGTTGGTGCGGCGGGCCATGTTGTTGTTCGCCAGGACGTCTAGGGGGTGGGTTGCTTCCCTCGTTTCCCCTACCTGCGCGCCCTCGAGCACGTCCCCTTCCACGCGGTTCCGACATCCTATACAGATTTATTATCTAAATTATGTAGTTTTAGTTCGTACAACGTTGCAGTTCTTTTAAAATATTGAATTCAAAAATTAAAATCTTAAAATGGCGGTTGTACACTTGATCTTTCATATTATACAAAACACATTATAGGTATATACCTTCGACAAATCTTATGAATTTGTTTTACAGATTTTTAAAATTTTACATTATAATTATAATAAATGAATAATTGCCGTTTACTTTTAAATTAATTAAAATTGAATTAAATGTGGAATTAAATATAAATATACTCAGCAATTTTTTTTAAGAATAGGTCGTTCTATTATATTGAAATTTAAATTGAAAGTGAAAACTAGAAACACTAAAGGTCTCATTTAAGTAATAATTATGTGAGAACTACCTGGTACAGTTTATGGAGTACTTAAATATAAATTATAAACAACGAACGAAAACACGAAAGTGAAGAATTGAAGATATACAATTTCTTTCTTCGTTGCTGGTAGGTAGTGGTAGGCAAAAAATATCGATATATCAAAATATCGATCTTTTTCCATATCAGTATCCATATATATCATGGATATTGCATCGTTAATTTTAAAAATCCCGACACAATCTTTATGAAATTTTCAACAAATCAATTATAAAAAAATAAAACAAAAGTCCAATTTTTAAAATATTTTTGTAGTTATATTTCTTTTGGCGCATTAGGGAAAATGACACCCTGAAGTTAGCTAGACATCTACGTATGTTTGCTTGAGAACTGTTAACTGTATTCACGATATTTATTTTGTGATATTTAAATAAACTTTACTTAACTAAATAATGCGTTATAATTAACCTTATTATTAAATACCTTATGCATCAAATACCTTTTTTCTATTGTTAGTGTCGTTTTTTCTACTAACGTAGAATAAGGCGAAAGATAAATTTTTTTAAAAGATTTTTATCTTGTTACGCCAAAGATGTATAACTTATAATGTGTGTACATAAGTACACACACATTTTTTTTATATTTTATGGTTTTGCAAAAGTTTCAAAAATTATTACACGTCGGCTAATTTTATTATCATGAGAAGTATATAGGCTTTTAACGACACGTTTAGGGCAAGCGCATCCACCATGTTTGAAAGGCGACAATTCCAAAAATTTCGAACATTTCATACAAATTGCTGAGCACACATACACATTTACTGTTCACTCGAGCAATAATAAAAATTACGTTTTTTTACCGAATTTTAAATGCCTTGGAGATACATATGAATAATCATGCACTTTTCACTCGATAAATATCGATACTCTTTAAAAATGTCGATACGATAAATATCGATTTTTTTTTTTACTTGTCCATCTCTAGTTTCTTCTGCAGTGTTACCAACTATTCAAAACCAAAAGTCCCTAAAGTAATTCAAAAATCCACTAAAATTCTTTTTTTTTTATGTGAAAAGTTTCCAAGCGAGCAAGCGGTTCACCTGATGTTAAGTGAATACCGCCGCCCATGGACATCTGCTACACTCACGGGTTACAAATGAGTTGACAACCTATTGAAGATTGGGCTTCGGCTACCTCACTCACCAGACGAAACGCGAAAGTATTCATTATACTTCCACTTTACGCCGGTCTTCTATGAGGTCGTGGTACTTACCCGGATGAGCCTACCCATTCGTGCAACAGCCAAGGCTGCTGCGTGGCCCTACCACAGTTAATTTCACTAAATTCTAGCCAAAACTTCCGAATTGTAAATTAAGTCTTCATTTTTTTTACAATATCAAACAAGGTAAAATAATTATCTGATAATAACCATTTCATGAAAAATAGTCAAGAAAATTAAACATAATGTAATTCATTTTTATATTACTTTAGAAATAAATAGGTTGAGAACAAAATCAATAAAATATAAAAAATAAGTTTTTGGAAACATCCACCGATAACAATTTTTCCACCATTTGGCATTTTATATTACTTAATTTAAGACTTTGTGATTCCCAGAATACGAACATATCTAACAAAGGCGGGACAGGAAGCGAAATTAAACGACGCAGAGGTATGGCAAAAGCGACGATGACCTAACTTGAAAAGGTATAGACAAAGCAACATACTTAAAAAGATATACATCGTCAACACTTGTCTTCCACATTTTTCTATATGGCGCAGTCCTGGACCGTAAAAGCAACAGTCTGGCGACGCACTGACGCTTTCGAGATGTGGTGCTGGAGGAGCATGCTACACATACCGTGGACAGAGGAAAAATCCATCCATTCTAAAAGAATTGAAAATAGCCCAAAGGTTTTGAATGAATGAATGAATATTTATTTAGTTTCAACAACAAACACAGGTATGTTAACAATTAAAAGAATATATATCTAAGACATGAAACCATGCAACCAAATAGGTACGATTTCCCGATTTTCAGTACATACCAAAACAAAATTATAAATGACAAACTAGACTAAGATTAACACAAAGCGGGTACATTAATTCAAGGAAAATAACACAATACCTACTGATTATAACACAAATATGGTACATTATGCTAAAGACAGTAACACAATAACGACTAATGAAAATTAACATCTATAAGTAAAAAGCAGACAATTCCATACATTTCAAATGCCTACACGGTGCCTACTAGCGCTCCACACCGGAGCTTGCGCCCGAAAATGGCTTATATAGCCAATCTTGGCGGCAAACTCTCTTGCACAGTGAGGGCATGAGAACGCCGCCTGCATAGTAAAAAAAAAAAAAAAAATATCTTTATTCACATAGACGCTTGGGCGTTCTTATGAAACGTCAAAATTTTACAAGAAATTAACACGTTCGTAAATTACCACCGGTTCGGAAAGCAGTTTCTGTTGAGAAGAAACCGGCAAAAAACTCAACAGTTGCTCTTTTTAAAAAAATCAGTTTACAATATAATAGTACATGTACAATAGTCTTGTTTTAGCCTACGTGAGTATCAACAGTATTAACCCCACACATTGGCGTCGTCAAGATATTCGGCAATAGAATAATAGGCTTTAGCCATAAGTTTACTTTTAATTTTTCGTTTAAATTCCTCAAGTGGCAGACTTAATATCGACTGTGGGATTTTATTATACTTTTTGAATTCTATTATTAAGGTAAGAGGCAATGAGATTGAGGGCGATGTCACGAATGCCATAATAATCTAACTTTTGAAGGAGGGTTTCGTGGTCTACACAGTCGAAAGCCTTTGAAAGGTCGCAAAAGACACCTATTGCATTTTGTGACCTTTCCCAGGCGTTATAAATATGCTTGACAAGTACGACACCCGCATCCGTTGTCGATCTGCCTTTAGTGAATCCATATTGCTCATTGTGGAAAATTTTGTTCATATTAAAATGTACTAAGAGTTGATTTAAAATTAGTTTTTCAAAAATTTTACTCAGAGATGGCAATATGGAGATAGGTCTGTAATTTCCTGGATCATTTTTATCCCCACTTTTGAAAACGGGGATTATCTTACTGAATTTCATAAGATCTGGAAATATTCCAGAATCTATACATTTGTTAAAAATATTTGCCAAATATGGTGCAATATACGGCATTATTGTACTCATTAATTTTATGGACATGCCCCACAAATCTCCTGTATTTTTAAGATTAATAGAATTCAAAACTTTTATAATATCATTAGTATCTATGTGATTAAATTTAAACGTTTGTCGACAATAGGTAACATTATTTTTTAATACATTAATTGCATCAATGGGAGAGGATTTTAACGTGCATGTAACATTAATTGCAATTTCTGAAAAATGACTTTCAAAACTACTTGCAATTTCGTTATCTGAAGTTATGGGTGTATTGCCTATCACTAGCTTTATAGGTTCCCTGAATATCTTGGGTCTTCCAGATATACAGGTAATGATGTCCCATGTAGCTTTTATTTTATTACTAGAATTTAAAATCCTATTTATTATGTAGATAGATTTTGCATGTATACAGACTTTTTTAAATATTTTTGAAAAATTTTGTACCCGTTTATGGAAATTAGGGTCGTGATTCCACTGCCTCATATTATATAATTCATACAGTGAATCCCTACTTTTATATATACCCACTGTAGCCCAGTCACTAAATTTTAATTTTGATTTTTTAACAATTGTGCGGGGTTTAAAAATATGATTATAGGAAGTTATGAGAAAATCAACCATTGATCTATAACAATCATTAGGGTTATTGACTCCGATATGTTTATGGAATACATGCTGTGCTACTTTATCTTTAAAAGAATTTAGTCTCCTAGCAGTGACTGGTCTACACCTGATCTTAATTTCACTTGTAGTAATGTTTTCATTTATTGAAAATTTTAAACCAAGATGATCAGAGCTCAGATAATTTATAATAGATTTGTCATATACTTCATTGTGACAGAAAACGTTATCGATACATGTGGAGGATAAGTTAGTAACACGAGTTGGTTCATAAAAAAGATTTTTAAGTTTGAATGAATTAAATAAATTTAAAAGCCGCTTACTAAGTTGTGTTACTTGTAATAAATCCACATTAAAATCTCCACAAACTATGACTGATTTACTAGTTAAACACAGTTTTTTAAGGACATCATCCATGACACACTCAAACTGGTCGAAATCACCGGAGGGGGGTCGATACACGCATACTATAATATACTGTTGACTCTCAACGCAGGATAATTCTATAGAGCGTTCGACAGAGAGTGCCATTATATCCTGTCGATTTTTACAGACTATATCATTTCTAACTAACACAAGAGAGCCACCGCGTATAGCATTTACTTTTACGAACGAACTTAACATTTTATAATTCTCTATATTTACAACATTACAATTCTTATGTAACCGTGTCTCTGTGAAGCAGATGACATGAATATTAAATTTCCTAAGGAACAGTTCTATTTCAGGTTCTTTGCCACCCAAGCCTTGTATATTTTGATGTACAATATTTAATTTCTGTGGCCTAGGTGTTGTCTCAATGTTTAGTTTAAACTAACATTGTTTGATGACGGATTATTATGTATGTATATTGTATGCTACTAAAGTAGCAATTTGTTTCTTATAATATAATGGCAAATACCAAGTATTTTTTGTCACCTTAAAACTAGATTTAATAAAATTATTTATGTCAAAATAAAAGAAAGCGTCACTATGACGGTGAGTTGTATGTTAGTATGATAGATGATATTGTATGTAGTAGAGTAGTTATAACTAATGGCGGCGGTTGGACGGGCCTGTAGGTCATCGCGCTTAGCGTCGAGTTCAGATTTACGCTGATCTTCAAACTCGCGGATACGCCTCTGCACAATTCCGCGCCACTCCGGACGCTGCGCTGCCAAAACCTCCCAATTGGATGGCTCTATGTTGCATCTCTTCATATGTCGTTTCTGAACATCTTTGTATCTGAGGAGTTGACCGCCAAGTTTCCGCTTCCCCTTCTCTGGTTTAGAGTAAAAGATGCGTTTCGCCACTCGTTCTTCCGCCATACGTGACACATTTCCGCACCACCGAAGCTGCTGACGCATTAAATATGCCTCAATGCCACCGACATTGGCTCGTCGCAAAACTTCAGTATTACGCACCCGGTTGGATCATCTGATCTTCATGATGGTACAAAGGTATTTAAGGTGGAACCGATCCAGACTACGAATGTGGTGGCGATACACACACCATGTCTCGGAGGAATATAAGAGCTAGGCAGCACAATCACCATGTACCTACACCGAGATTTTGGTAGCCAGCTTAAGGTCGTGCTAGCAGAAGACCTTAGATCGCAGCTTACCAAATGCAGCAGCTGCAGCACTGATCCTGCTGTTGATTTCAGCTTATACGGAAGCGGTCAGATACGCAGGATATATTAAGGTGCGCAAGCGTTCGCGCACACGCAGGCGCACGCACTCGTCCTTCCACTCCTTGATTCAGTGGAACGGAAAACCGCTACGACTGAAGGAGAGGTTAGATGATGTGTCTAGCCGACGTTACTATAACCCTTCTAACGTCGCCCTTGGCCATCCACCTTGCATTGCTGCTTCGCTGAGTCCACCAAGCCCATTGCATTTCTGCGGTGAGTCGCCTTTCTCACCAAATCAGACTTCATGCGCTATGCGGGAGGATCCCTCCCTTGTCCACCAACACGTGACAAGCTCCCCGTCCATCCGGTGAGTAGACTCGATCTTCCGGGGTATGGTCGCTGCGCGCATCACAACAACTTTAATCCCTTAGTCGCCTTTTACGACACCCATGGGAAGAGACGGGGTGGTCCTATTCTTAAGCCGGAACCACGCGGCACAACCACTATAACAAAATTATTAATTACCACTACAAATTAATAATCAAGAAACTTATATCTAAACTAGACTAAAAATAACAAAGCTCAATTACATGTATTATTATAGTGTTTCAGAAGCCCAGTTTCTGAAACACTATAATAATAAGACTTTTTGATATCTTGTATGGAAATGTGGTCGCTCTGACTGCCCTGACTGCTGACAAAGCCGTTTAATTAAATTAAGAAAAGTGTATTTAGTATTCATCTTTTATATTTTTTTTTATTAAGAAGGAATTCTCAACAACCAAACGAAAGTAAAAAAAAAACTATAGATGTGATATAATGATCTTAATGATCAGAATGATCAATTTAAAGAGTTTAACCATCCTTTTGGCAACT